TTTAATGGAAAAAAGATACCACCTGGAATACTTATTAGCTTAAAAGTACTCGCCTGGGAGCCTAAGAAGAGTCACTGTGTCTCAAGGGCTCCTGAGTGGTTTAACTCCAGAGCCTAATGCTTTTTTCTTGAGGGCCTGGAGTAGCCTGCCACTAGGGGATGCTGTTGCTTCTTTGCTCCAATTCCTGGCAGGTTCAATTCTGACCACATCGGTCTCAATGCAAGAGAGAAAAGAGGCTTTTACCCTTCCTAAGTGAGTTTGTTTCTCTTAAGCCTCCAAAGTCAGCTGCATCTGTTGGAAAAATTCAGAACAAAAAGAAATGGCTAATAAATGAAATAGCCTTGTAAAAACGTTTTCAAATATCTTCTTGTGGTGACCAGAACAGCATCCTGATATCATAGTGGCCTAAAAGTTTCACTGGGGCTGTGGATGTTAGCAGTTTTTGAGGTGCTCCTGAGGGAAGTCAGTGCAAGTGGGGAAAAGCTGATGGGTTATAGAGATGAGGAGATGTTTGTGTCCATGCTGACCCTTCCCCAGTCTGGCAGAGATCTGCTTTGCCCTTCTGCTGATTCAGTTTTGGGTCAGACATCATTTGCCAAGGCATGTCAGTGTACCCATTTTGTTAGAAATGCAAGTTCTGATGTTGTATGAACTTGGAAAATCCTGGGTTGGAAAGGTTAAAAAAGTACTATTGGTGTGGAACATTCAGAACATTTACTTTTCACTGTGCAGAATTTAAGGCTGGGTATGTTCATCAAGAGTCGGGTGGTTTGCCCCCATTTGGCAATGTCTGGAGACAGTTTTGATTGTCATGACTGGAGAAGGGCTTTTTGGCATCTTGTGGGTAGAGACCAAGGATTCTTTTTCTTCTTCTTTTTTTGTACTAGGGATTGAACCTAGGGGTGCTTAACCACTGAGCAACATCCCCAGCCCTTTTTTATGTTTAATTACAGACAGGGCCTCTCTGAATTGCTTAGGGCCTTGCTAAATTGCTGAGGCTAGGTTTGAACTCTCCATCCTCCTGCTTTAGCCTCCAAGTCCCTGAGATTACAGGCATGCACCCTCACACCCAGTGAGACCAAGGATTCTAAGCATCCTCCAAAGCATAGGATAGCCCCTCTACTCAAAAAAGAATCATCAGGCTCAAAGGATCAACAGTTTAGAAGTTGACAAACCCTACTCTATTTTACACACACTCCCTTAATTAACCACACTTTTTTTTTTGGTGTCTTGCAGCACTAGAATCCTGTGGAATATAGACAGGAAAACTCTGCCCTAAGATTACTCACAATGGTCTAATTGCAGAGTGGTGTGGCCATCTCTTAATACTAATTTCCTTTGACTTCCATTTGTCATTGTTGCCTGTCATCTCTTTGAAATTCTCCTGAATTGGTTTGATGTTGCATGGTTTCTCCTGTAATCTTGTTTTCTCTTTTTTGACTTCTCTTCTTGTTCGCTGAATGGTGTGTTTCTTGTAGTTGCATACTTTATTGTGATCCATCTTTGGAAGACTCATTTAATACATAATTTCTGTTATATATATATATATTTTGGGGGGGGGCTACCAGGGATTGAACTCAGGGGCACTCGACTACTAAGCCACATCCCAAGCCCCTATTTTGTATTTTACTTAAACAGTGTCACTGAGTTGCTTAGTGCAACTGGCTTTGAACTCATGATCCTTCTATCTCAGCCTCTTGAGCCACTGGAATTATAGTCGTGCGCCGTGGTGCCCAGCTTGATTTCTGTTTTGTGAATCGGTATCAGTGACTCCACTTATATTCTGTGGATAGCCATGTAGGTGGAACCCATGTCTTCCCAAAGAGATCTACATTTTCAATTATATGTTGGATGATATCTCCAAGTAAAAAGTGTTTCTTCTCTAAAACTCTTTATCCTTTGACTCATTCTTAAATTCTTCCAATTTTATTAGTTACAGAGACTTGAAAATCAGACTTGAAACCATGTTTAATCACTAAGCTTGTGAATTTGTGAATTCTCCCTCCCCCACCTTTTTTTTTTTTTTTTTTTTTTTTTTGGTGTCAGGGGTTGAACCTGGGGGCACTTAACTACTGAGCTACATTCCCACTGCCCCACCCCCTCTTTTTTTGAGACAGGGTCCCACAGAGTTGCATAGGGCCTTTCTAAATTGCTGAGGCTGGCTTTGAACTTGTGATCCTCCTGCCTCACTTTCTGAGCTGCTGCGATTACAGAGGTGCACTACCATACCTGGCTCCTTCTGGTCTTTTTGTCTATCTCTTCTTAAATGAGACTTTGATTGCCCCTTATCTGAATTATAGAAATGAATTCCAAGTCATGTGTTCTGTTCCCATTACCACTGTGGCAATCCTTCTAATACAAGCTTTGATTCTTTCTTAAAAATGTATAGTGGGTGAGTTCCCATTGACTGTTGACTAAAGTCTGTATCTCTTATGCTGAAAATCATTCCAGAACATTTAAACCTCTGTTCTAATGTCTCCTCTGTTGAGGTTCCATTCAGGAGAAATGCTCAAGTAAGGTCAAAGCTTTGGAGAATGGAATGTGCAAGGTACACGGAGAAAGCAAGTGTTTATAAAACATTTAGAATGAAATAATCTCTGATCAACCAGCAGGGAACATTTAAAGTCCTAAATTATCATAGATGCATTGGAATCATTTTCCAGATTAAGCATTATCTAGAAATGTGAGGATATGGTCCTTTATAGCATATAAAGAATAAAAGTAAAGAAGGATATAGCCCAAGGCTTCCATTGATTACAGCTCATAGCCTATCACATATCTTCAGTAAATATCTGTTGAATTAATGGATGAGCACATGAATGAATGAAAAACTATGGTAGCAGAGGCTGTTAGTGTTCTGCTAGTACCCCTCCGCACTCACTTCTACATGACGAAGACAAACACTGCAATCACTTGCCAATCTCTACTTCAGGGTCTTTTTTCTCCTTTCTGGCTGGAGTTGTGTGCTAGGAGCCGGAAGTGCTAAAGAGTCTGTGAGTTGAGAAGTGGCGAAGCCGCCTTCACCAATAATAGAGAGGGTGTTGGTGGACAAATATCCCAGTTTCCTCATACTTTAATTAGGCTAACTCTGTGACTTGCTCTGTAATATCTCCTAGAGCTCCTCACTGGGACTGAGCTCCAGTTGACCACAGTGGTCACTTGCTTGAGGAAGTACTCTTTATTGACTTTCTTTCCTTCCCAATCTCACTTCCCCAACCCCAGCAGAGCTTCTAGGATTATCTCTTAAAACAAAAACAAACAAACAAAAAAACCCACTGGTGATTGATTTCTTGTCTCTGAATCTACGAAACTGAGACAGTTACTGAATGTGGAATTGGACACTGAGGAGTCTATGACATTTGGCATAATGGGATAAAAATTGCATTTGAATAAAATATATTTCTTCAGGAGCCAGGGACTATCTGTGACAAAATTTTCTTTATACCAATCATTAGATATTGGAGCAAAAGATACAGAAGTTTTTCTCTGGAGCTCCCCTTCCCCATTATTTTGAGATTATTGCATAGAGGATGAAAAACTCATTAAAACTGGAAAACATTCACTAATAAAATGTTATTGTGATATATAATTTTAGTGAATATTATAATAGTATAATACTTATGATATGCTCAACTCAGATTTTCTTTTCTACTTAACATTTCAGTCTATCTTACCTATCATGCCCAAGTGGTTTGCGTATTTTGCTATATGTATTTGGCCAAACCACACACATGAAGCTACAGTTTAATAAGAACCTGAAATAAGAAATCTTGTATAAAATCTTTCATAAATTTTACAAAAGCACTGTTGGAGAACTGCTAGAACCAAAGCAACAATGAGATAAACAAGATCATCATGAACAAATGAAGATCTGCAAGAAGACCAGGCAACAACTGATTAAGAGAAAATGGAGAAGGATGATGACCTTGAAAAGAACCTTCACACAGAGGGATCTACATGTCAAAACACTGAGGGTAGTTCTTGAAAAGTGATGCCCTAAGATATATTTGCAAAAACTTATATTCTTTGCAATTATTTTACAAAAGTTAAACATGAAAGCATGGATATTGTGCAATGTTAAGCTATATTGTGTTTTGGAAAAAAAATCATTACAGAGCATTTCATTTACATTTTTAAGTGACAGAAGTACATTTAGATTTACTGTAGTTTGTGTGTGTTCCCAGGAGGTCATATGTTGGATAATTAATTTCCAGAGGCATATGTCAATGATATTTGGACATTGGGAAGGTAATTAGGATTAGATGGGGGTCTTGAGGGTGAGAAAGAGAGACTAAAGCTAGCATGATTGTTTTGTTTTACTGTGTGATTCCCTCTGTCAAGTTATGATGCTGCAAGAAGGCCCTCACCAGATACTGGGGCCATACTTTTGATATTTTCAGCCTTCAGGACTGTAAGCCATAAACTTCTATTTTTTATAAATGACCCAGTCTCAGGTATTGTGTTATAGCAACAGAAAATGGAGGAAGACAAGATCATTTCTATTACAAAGTGTTTAATCTCAAAGTTTAGTTTATAACACCTTTGAGAGAATCATGAAAACATCTGCTCAGTTCAGTACATTGAAACAGGAAGGAGGCTTATCCCTTGCCTTACATAGAATCTCCTTGGATTGAAAGTCATTTAAATATTGAACTGAGAACATTTGCTATCTTTCCTGATTTACAGATATGTTTCTCTGAAACTTATCTCTAACTTCCAAACAGTCCCAGCTGGCTGTAGTTAAGGTCTGTGAAACTGATAAAATACATCTGGCTTCAAGTCATAGATTAAGTACAGAAGGAGGCTCTTCATGTCTCTGAAGAATCTAGCTGGAGTATGGGCTATGTCTGAGAACCACTTGGTTTATAAATAAGTGCCAAGATAATCCAGAACAGGGAGAAGCAGAGCGAGGACAGTCTGCTGGACTCTTCCTGCCGTTGAAAAGTACCCTTAGAGAGGAAAACTTTTCCCTCTCTTCTGCCTTGAAAGTTTTCCCAAACATGAAGGTAAGATAATAAGTTTATTACTTTTACAAATGAAGCTATCTCAAAAGAAAGGTAATTCTTAACTTAAAGAAACCAAAGAAAGAGAAAGACATGGAAAAGTATAGAAGACAAAGATCTGAGAGTGACTTTAAAAAAATCCTTATTTAAATATATTTTGAATAGTTCAGCTAAAGTGAATTAATTTTCTTTTTTTTTACAGTTAATTATAGGTTTAGAGGGCTGGGAAGAGGGAGTTGGAGACACTGTTTATGAAAGTCCTGGGAAAGCCATAATGTAATACAATAGTACTACTGTTACCTCTTAGGGAAAGTTTTTCTCCAGTTTATCTGTCTGTTTTAATTTGGAGCCATGCAATGGGGACCTGATTTGCAGATCTGGAACCTTAGAATTTGGAGTCCTGGATGAAAGGGTTAGGATTGTGAGAGTAGAAGATATGAATGGAAGATGGAATGAAACTAAAAGTTTGCCAAATACACACGTTGGACCAGTGCAGAATGGACAAACGTTTTTAAAAAATTACTATTCAACCAAAGGCAGGACCAAAGACATAAGACTCTATTATAGACTGAATTTCTGGGATTCAAAATAAGTTGAAATTGCTAGTTCAATTTTATCGCAAATTTTGGCATTTAAACTTTCAAGTTGTTGCCTCATCGCACTGGAACAATAGTTTTGCAGATCTGGCAACTTCTGGATTTGCTTCTTTGTTAACTACGGTCCTCTGTGTACTGAATCCAAGCTCACTTAAATAGGATTGGAGGAGGAGAAATATACAGGTCTTGTATAACCTTTGCCTCATGTACAATTAAATAATTAAAAGTTAAACATAAATCACAAAGTTAATTTGTTTAATTTTATGATGCTACGACACCAAGTAATCTAACAAGTTTAGAACTGTGAGATAATTTAATCTCTATTACTCTGTCTTGCATTTTTATTTAAAAATTTAGAGCATTTGTTAGCTCAAAAAGAATATTACGCTTTTGCTAAAGTCTTCTAATATGTTTTTTCCTAATATTTGTATTAAGTGTCAATCAATTCCCTAATTTTTCCTATGATGAGACATCTTAATGATTGTTTTATGCTCAACAATGTAGTTCACAGTCATTGATTATTACAGAATTTTAATGTTGTGATAATAAATATATTTTAATTCTTTAATTGGTTGATAGAATATCAACAATTAATGCAATGGTTTCACTTCAAGTTGCATGCAAAATTTCTACCTGGATTTGAAAGCAGATAGTCATATTTTTATAGTAAACCTGAAGGGAAACTTGGGAAAGCCTAAACTGTTAAGACATTAGAAATGGTTTCCATGTTTGACCTTTTTAGTATTTTTTTAATTGTAGATGGACCCAATATTTATTTATTTATTTATTTTTATGTGGTGCTGAGGATCAAACCCAATGCCTCACACATGCCAGAGGAGTGTGAATCCATCTAATGGAATATTAATTTTTTTGATTATACCTGTTTTGGCTGCTGAGTGTCAAAAGCCAAGAACAATAAACATTTAGGGCTCTCACATTTTAAGGTGTAGGATGCTTTACATTCTGTGCACTACTGTAAAAAAGTAACCCCAAATGTGTCTGGTGACCTTCATGCCATCTCCATTCTCAATAGTACACAGGATTTTGTTCCTTAAAGGGTGGAAGATGTAGGAATGGTATTCTATACACACTTGGGAAATTGAAAGTCAGCGTTGAGCAGAGTCAATCACCTTGGCTGTAGAGGCTACAGCTTGAGTATTCAGAATTTGGTAGGACAAAGATGAGCAGGTATCCCCTGGATCAGAAGTGGATCTGAGAAGGGAGTCAAGTATGGGTTGTTAGGGATTCTGCTTGAGATGTTGACCACCTGCAGGATGAAGCAACCCCAACAATGGCATAGTGTGGAAAGGACTGTAGGGGGCAGGCAGTGATGACAGTCAGGAATGAGGAACAAAGAGATGAGTCATTTGTGCCAGGGAGGTGGTTGTGGATGCCTGGTAGGGAGTCCACAGTGAAGAGGAAGAATTGGCATCTAAACATCTGACAACCCTGATTTACCATCCTGGACTCCAATGGGATCAGTCAAGCAAGATCCTTTCTGACCCTTTTCCCTCTCACTCCTGATGCTCTGTCCTTGAAGAAGACAGAGAGAGGAAGGGTAAGTGGGGAAGTAAAGTAAGAGGTAGGAATTTTGACGTGCACCTTACCACTCCCCCATTATGTGTACCTAGGAGATAGGAAGGAGTGAGGAATTTTAAACTAATGATAAATTGAAGTTAGAATTTTTAATTTCTGAAAATGTGACTATTTGTTAATGCTTAAGAGTGGTAAATAAAATACGAATGTGTTTTCCCAGGGGCAGGAAAAAATAAGTTGACAGCACAGAGAAAAGGCACATTTTTGAAAAAGGAAAACAAAAACAAAAACAAAAACCATGTAGGTCATAATTAAAAAAAAAAAAACTTAATGATTATATGCCTCACATGTTTGTTGAAAAATCAGAAAAGTATTTATAACTTCTTTACTCTTTCCTAGATACATTTCCTAGATACAGCTCCTTGATACATTTCTACCTTCCTGAAGGTGCTAGTTAGGATAATAGAAAGATTTGTAGATCTATAAAAGCTAGAAATAGGCAAGTAGGATTTTTACAACTGAAAGGAAGATACCTAATTAGAGGATGGATGATTTGGGAAGGCTAGTGGAAGATTCTGGAAAAATTGTTGGGAAAACACTCCATCGATACAGTGAGGAAAAAGAGGTTCTTAGGAAGAAAACAAAGGATCTTGACCTCTGGAAATGTGGGATAAGCAATTTTAAGGACTTTTACACTGAGTTATGAGGTGAATGTATTTGATATACTTAGAGAATCACTTGTAAAAAAATGAATTATACTCACCACCTCAACCTTTAAGTTTTCAGTAAAAGGAAAATACATATAACTGAAAATAAGATAATGGAAATGATCTATAATTTTACAACCAGAAATAAACTTTTATTATTCTATTTTTTTCTAGATTTAGTTTTTCATTAATGTGCTTGATTTTTCAAATGAAATGTAATCCCATTTTACATACATTTTTGTAACTTGTCAGGTCCTCAATATTTAGATTGTGCTATCCCATAAAGATGATGATAACAGGCCTCAGGAGTGTTTTAAACACAGAGGGAGCTGCCCACAGAACTAAAGCTGAGAACCGCCCCCTGCCTGAGGCTGTCCCTCAACTTTTGCTTACTCATTCCCAGAGCTCATTTCCCTATTAACTTCACAGCCATCATCACTGATGCTTCTTCCAAATTTTCTCCCCTCGGGTGTCCTCTAGGATGCTAAAGTTAGAGATGAGGAAGTGGAGAAAGGAATTAAAAGATGGTGGGCCCTAAGGAAATGCTGGAGGCCCTTTAACTCTACTATTTTCCATTTGTCTGTCTGTGGTACAGCCCAGACCCTAGTTGTCTTTACAGAAATGAACAGTGGGAGGTGTGGCCCAGAGAATTACATCAATCTTTACCCTAAAATTATTTATTTTACAAATTAAGTAAATATTGTATATATCTGTCTCATCATCTTTTAAAATAGGTCCACGTTGTGGAATGGCTCAGTTGAGCTAATGAATATCTATGTATCATCTCACATACTTACATTTTGGTGAGAACACTTAAAATCTACTCTCTTGATAATTATCAAGAACGCAATACATTGCTATTAACTATAGTCACCATGTTGTACACCAGATTTCTTGAACTTATTTTTCTTATCTAATCGAAATTTCATATCCTTTTACCACAGTCTCCCCCAACAACCCTCCCCACCTTCTCAGCCCTGATGATTCTTTCTACTTCTATGAATTCAATATTTTTAGATTGTTAAGTGTGACATTTACCTTTTTGTGCTTGGCTTATTTCATTTAATGCAATGACCTCTAGGATCATCTGTTGTTGCAAATGGCAGGTTTTCCTTCTTTTTTTTTTTTTAAGATTTTATTCCATTGCACATAGTTTGAGAGCAATACACACACACACACACACACACACACACACCATATTTTTTTCTCCCTCCCTCCTTCCTTCCTCCCTCCCTCCCTTTCTCTCTCTCTTCCTCCCTCTCTCTCTCTCTCTCTCTCTCTCTCTCTTTCTTTCTTTCTTTCTTTCTTAGTGCCCATGGAACTCAGGGCCTCACAATACTAGGAAAGCACTCCATCATTGACCTGTACTCCCACCCCTCATATCACATTTTCTTTATCTATTCATCCAATGATGGACCTTAGGGTGATTTCATGTCTTTCCTATTAAGAATAATACAGTGAACATGGTATACAGGTATCTCTTTGGCATACTGATTTTATTTTCTTCGGATTTATACCCAACAATGGGATTACTGGATCATATGGCAGTTCTGCTTTTTAAATTTTTTTGAAGAAACTACAAATTTCTATTTAAAATGGAACCTTAAAGGAAAAGCAGTTATTTAGCTTTTTACATGGTTCTTTCACTCTTTGTACTCCAAACCCAGAGATCTGGCTTTATATGAATGTCTTGGTTTTCAACTCATTAATGAAATGAAATCTAAAGTGATACTTTATTCTTTTTCTTCTCCAGACAATAAGCTTATTCATTTTTGTGGGATTTATAGGAGAGTTCCAAGTTTTTTCAAGGTAAGAATTATTTGGATTGTGTGTGAAAATCATTAAAAAATATTAAGGAAATTTTTTTAGTGTGGTCTAATTCTTCAGTTGCAGCTTGAGAGTATTTATTCCTACAACATGTTTTTTTTGTCTGTCTTATTTTTAGAAAAATTGATGGTATCAAAAGAGTGTTTTATTATTCTTTTACTTTATTTTTTTTCCCTGTAAGTAAGAAACTTAAAGACTAAAACACCTCAAAGGTTTTGTCCTGGTACCACGATTTTACCTGTGACTCAGAGAATCCCAGCAGATTCACACACCCTAGAGTACTATTTGATCTTTAAGTGTAATCCTTGCAAAACATTTTATGGATTTTAAAGGTTGAGAGTTTTCTTAGAAAATGGTTTTATCATCTCTTAGGACCTGGAAAAGCAAACATCATCCACCTCTGACTTTTTTTTTGTTTTGTTTTGTTTTTACTTTCAGGGTGATGGGGACAGGTCAGGTCATTTTATGGAACAATTAGAATATGTGTCAGGGCTGTGCTAGGACCTGGGGATGCTGAGAAGTTAGAAGACCCTTAGTGTCTACTGGATGACTCAGATCCTGAGATGGTTCTTTGCAATGTGAGTGTACTAAGGGCCCTGCACAGGATGATGTAGGGAAGTCCAAACTAGCTTTCAGTCCTAAATCTCTGAATTTGGGGAACACCTCTGCTTTTCACTGGGACACAAAATAGACAACAGTAAGTTCAGATTGTTTAAGGGTCAAATATACTCAGTTATTGATGCCATATGAAAACTGGTTACCAAGGTTGGTTCCATAAAAGAACTTGAGGTGCATATATTAGAGAAAGGGATTGATTATTTTCAGGGTAATCAACAGTCTTAAGGTATGCAAACATCACCTTGATTCAAATGTTTTTTCCAACAATTCCTAGATGTGCTAGGAATTCAGAAGCCAAAAATCCTGGTCCCTTTATCTTTTGGCAAGTCAATTTTTTAGGACTAATCCAATATCCTCCTTCATAGAGTTGAGCAGTGTATGAGAGCCAACTCTCCGTTTCCTGCATGTACTTTATTTGAGTGGAATTGTTTAAGCTCAAATTGCTGCACTTGGGCATGTGCTTGAAGAGTAGCCTAAATGAGCATGGTAATGTTTAAATATAAATCACTGTCACTTTAGCCTTTGCTAGCTTTTAAGAGACTGTTTCTCATAGGGTCTTATTAGAGCTAATTATTTCTCAGTTAAGTTTTTGGATAACTCTTCAACTCATTATGCAGAACCCTCTCAAAAACCTATTAACTTTCTCCTGTATATTCTCATCTACCCTCCCAGTTCTGAGCACTCTTTTCTCTCTGTATTTCCATAACACAGAGATATTATTATAACATCTCTGCTATCATATCTACTAGATTAGATCTGTTGTCCTATGATTGAACATTTGTATCTGTATCCTTCCCTTTGTCAACAATGAGCTACCTCTTTTATTATTTTTACAACTTTGGTGTCTTAATAGTACCTCACATACAGTAGATGTTTAATAAATGTCATTTTCTAATAAGCCCATTTTTTATGCTTTAGAATACTCTTAATATTCCTTAGGAAAAAATATTTTTTGAAGTGTTTTTGATTATTCTTACCTATTCTTTGTGTTCCCTGGCTTATCTTCTTGTGTTTTATCATGGATATTTTGAAACTACCACAAGTGCCTCTTCTCCAGTCAACTGCCAGTGGGATTCCTATGGCCCTTGGTCAGAATGCAGTGGCTGTACCAAGACTCAGGTAGGACAACACTAAACTTTGTATTTGGTTACTTATATGGAGAAACAGCTTAAGTATGGCCAAAATGACATGAAATTTTAATCTTCATAAAATTAGTGCTAGTGTTTTTTGATAATTATTTTAGTAGTTTTGAAGGGAAAAAGTATGACTTAAGTTTAATGATATTATAAAAAAGTAATTTCTACATTTGTTTTTCATGAAGAAAAATCTTTCTAGATCTTGTCTGTGGCAAGAAAGCTTATGGGCTAAAAATTAAAAGCAACTCACTAACTTAGTTAGAGAAATAGAAATAGCATGAAATGAAATTAGTATATAATCTAAAATCTGTTTCATTTCCGTCATTTCAACTTTTCTTCTTATTTTAAACACAAACTAGCAAATAACAAAATGGTTGCTTTGTTTTACTTCACAAATAATGACCAACCATAAAAAAAATCACTTTTTTTTGCAATATTTTAAAGTTTAATTCCCAAAGAGTACAAATAAAATACTAGAATTGACCTGGATATTATATAGTCACTCTAAAGATATGTTTTGTTTTCTTTTATAAGACATTCATTGAAGAAAATACAGAGATGTGTAAGGAAAGAAAACAGTATTCATAATTTCACTATTTAGGAGAAACATATATCAGTATTTGAGTATTTACTTTAGCTTAATTTCCATGTGTTTGTAATTTAAAAAAATAGGATTATCTCATCAGAGTATTTTTGTATTATACCACTTTAACCTAACATACTGTCAACAAGGTACAAGAATAATGAGGCAAAAGTCAAAGAAACACCGAGAACATGAAACATTTTTATAATTTAAAAACAAGAAAGAACTCTAAGTAGACAGAGTATTTTTTTTTCTTTGAGTGAAGGTCATCATGCAATGATTATAAAGCAACATTTTTTTTATTCAGAAAGAGACAAGTGAAAAATGAAAAAGGGGTCATAAGACCAGAACCTGACAGGTGAGAATGAGCCTGTTCAGAGTGGGTGGCGTTTGGGGCACCCTCGTGGATGGAGAGAGCAAATCCTCCTTATACAAACAACAGGATCCATGCTTTGGAACCTCAGGAAAGGAGCCTTTGAAGAATCAATTAAAAACAGAAACTAAAAATGTATCAAGCTGCTTTGTTAAGTTCCACTCCTCTTTCATGGTTCCTCTGCTTAGATCACTGAAAAAAGCCAGAGTCAACTCCAACTGATGCAAATTTATTCAGAACTCAAAGTTCATGATGCTTGTACCAAGGAATCCCCACTTGTAGCCTAAGTCAGGGAGGATGGATAAATTCAAAATTGGTTTATATACCCAGTCTTCCCTGTTGGTCTTCGCTCAAGGTGTAAGTATTCTGAAAGTGATGTTTGGCTAGTTTTTTATTAATGGAGGAAGGGTGAAGAAGGGAGAAATGCTAAAAGATACATCTCTGTTTCTGGTGGGTAGGGAAATGATTTTGTAGATCTTTTTTGGGGTGAGGGGACAGTGGTACTCAGGATTGAACTCAGGGGCATTCCACCAGTGCTGTGAGGGGGCAAAATTGCAACGTATGTAGCTGAGGGGAGAAATAATGAATGTCCATATACACTTCTGCCCCTTTCAATGCTTTATTCACTCAAATTACTCAATACAGTTTCACTCTACAGGTTCTTAATCACAAAAACGACAATCCTTAATACTAGGCACTGCAATAGACATAATCAATTCACAGCAAACAATTCTAGATTAATTAATTCACAGCAAACAATTCTAGATTAATTCTAAGCCCTGCAAAACACACTTAATCATGACAGGCTAATGACAGACATCCCCTCTGCGTGCTAAGTTCAAAAGTCTTAAGCCTTAAGCTTCATGTCCAGCAGATGCACACTTACTCAGACGGTGGTGACCAGGTCCTGAACCAAGGCAGGCTTTTCCTGGTGTGGAGCGGAAGACCAGTTGAAGAGGAGGTCATAGGGAGGAGTTGTGGCTCTCACCGATCACTCAGAGGTTCAGGAACCATGACAATTGATGGGATGTCAGGTCCTCATCAGGCTCTCCAGCTGGAGCGCATCCTTGTTTCGGCTGGCTGAATCCCTGTTCATTTGCTCTATCATTTATACTAAATTTTGGGGGGTTTTGACCCCGCCTTTCAATCCTTATCAGCTACCACCAGATTTCTCAGTGACATCATTTACCCTGAGGTCATGAACATCAGGTCTGGTGGTCTCCACCCTGATCTTCTCACCTCTTATCAGGTGAGGACAACTTGCCAGAGGCTTCACTCTCTTTATCAGGGTGAGGGGAAGTAACTTGTCTGAGGCCATAGTGGAGGGATCTGTGGATGTGCCTGGTGAGACTGCAGGTTTCAAACTGGAATTTTTAAAATGGAGTTGCTTAGCCTCAGGCCTAAGTCCATCCTAACAACAAGTAAGCCACATCCCAGTCCTATTTTGTATTTTATTTAGAGATAGGGTCTCACTGAGTTGCTTAGCCCGTTGCTTTTGCTGAGGCTGGCTTTGAACTTGGGATTCTCCTGCTTCAGCCTCCCTAGCCACTGGGATTAGAGGCATATGCCACAGAGCCTGGCCTAGATCTTTATTTTTGTTTAATAGTAGAGATATGTCTTTATACTGATTGAGGAGTCATGAATTTTAGGACAAATTAGTTTTAAGTTTTTCATTTAGCTTGATAATTCCCTCAGTTTACCTTCAGAGGTGCATTTTTCACATATTTCCCATTTTGCAGGTTAATGCTTTTGATTGTCTAGTAAAATTTCATTGTAATCCTTTGGGCCACTTAGGTTGTCTTGTAAACTTGGCCTCCACGTTAGTATATTTCTCTCTGGGTTAGTTTCCTTGCCTTTTTAAAAAAGGTCTACAGTTCAGCTCAAATCACCTGCCACCATTTTTCTGAAAGTGAGCCTAACTCCTCTTCACCTTAATTCCCCTTCCCAGTCACCCTTACTTTCACTCCAGTAAAATTTACTTCACCATTTCTAACTTAATTAACTCTTGTTAGATAGCCTTGGTCAAAACATTTTACATTGTAATCTATTTACTTATGTGTGTACCCAGTTAAGCTTCACTCTTTCAAGTTTACTTTTTCAAAGAATCATTTAAAACAGGTTTTTGTTTTTTCCCCACTTAAACCTGAAAATAAATATAAAGCTGGGAGCTCTCTATAAATAGTAATCCAAGTGTCACTGAACTGAAGGACAAGAAGATCTATGCATTCATCCATTAGTTTTTTAGGTTTTACTTATGTAGAACACCAGGACAATTTCCTGGATATTGTTTTACAAATTGTGTTAATTCTTCTCAGATATATAAAAATCTATGTGCATATTTTTGTAGTGCTGGGGATTGAACCCAAGGCTTCATGAATGCAAGGCAAGCACTGTAAGGCTGGCTGAGCCACTTGCTCAGCTCCCCTCTCACATTTTAGTACTCAGAAAAAGGAAATTACAGATAAAAAAATAAAGACACTCCCTATTTTGTGTTTAGACTCGCACACGCTCAATCGCTGTTTATGGGCAGTATGGGGGCCAACCTTGTGCCGGAAGTGCTTTTGAAACACGGTCATGTGAACCTACACTGGGGTGTCCTACAGAAGAGGGCTGTGGAGAACGTTTCAGGTGTTTTTCAGGTAATTTGTTTTTCATAGGGTCAGACCACGAATTGAAATGCTATTTGTTTTACTTGCTCAATATTTATTTGTTGATTTTTACTGAATTTATGTTGGCTGATAAATTCATTTCCCCCAAATATCAGAAAGATTTTTGTGATATATTAATCACACTTTCAGCTCTCATTCCTCCAAAGGCAAGGGAGGCATCTGATAATAAATGTGGGAATATTATTTGAAGAGGATTATGCCTATTAATGGGCCTAAACCATTCTTTTTAAAAATATTTTTATTGTTGATGGATCTTTATTTTATTTATTTATATGCAGTGCTGAGAATCGAACCCAGTGCCTCACACATGCTATGCAAGTGCTCTACCACTGAGCTACAACCCCAGTCCCCAAACAGTTCTTAACATTGCATTTTTGTTAAAGAGGCAGAGGGGGTATGGTATATACATGAGATTGAGCAAAAGTGATGTTCCTGCACATGTAATTATGTTTACAAGAAAAGTATCTCTAAGTAGCCAACCAAGGAATGATATGGCTCACACCATGCATGGTGTGTTAGAAACATAGTTTTGGCATTGAATATTATTTGACTTATTGTCTCTGTTGCATTCATGCAATTAGATTAATTCTATAACTTTTAATAAAAATGTACTACTCTTTTAATAATCCAAATATGGTGATGGGGGTATGGATATAGAAATGAAACACATAGCTTCTTCTCAAAAGTATTAAATTTTCAGGGTCAGGATAGTATATAAAGAATCCCTGTGTTAGAAAATTCTCTTTTGGTTTCAAAATCCAAACCAAATGATAGCTGCTTTGGGAAGTATTCCCTAAACCTTCAACTGGTGGACATAATTAACAAATCACTTCTGTGTTCCCTATGAATCTCATACTATCTGTAATATGGATTATTTGTTGGCCTGGATATTTCTTTGGTAGACTCTGAACTCCTTGAAGATACAGATGGTATTTCTTTTGTTTTGGCACCCGGGGTGCCTAGTATATAGCATGCTCTCTCTCTCTCTCTTTGAATTGCAAACTTTTTTTTATTATTAGTTGTTCAAAACATTACATAGTTCTTGACATATCATATTTCATACATTTGATTCAAGTGGGTTATGAACTCCCATTTTTACCCCGTATACAGATTGCAGAATCACATCGGCTACACATCCACGTTTTTACATATTGCCATACTAGTGTCTGTTGTATTCTGTTGCCTTTCCTATCCTCTACTATCCCCCCTCCCCTTACAGCATGCTCTCAATGAATGTCTGCTGCATTGAACTGAGTGAAAGGAGAGTGGAATATATGCTACTCTATGAGGACACTTGTTCACAAAGCATCCAATGAGGACACAGGAAAACCACACATCGTAATTTGTGGGATAGGAATAGTGTTAAGAAGGGAAATGTATTTAACTTGATTCTTGAAGGATAAGAAAATCCTCCCAGGCAGAGAAAAAGGTAAGTGTAAGATTATTGGCGATGAGAGGAAACATGGCTTTTTATTCATGCAAATGGCCCAGTATGACTAGGACACAGAGAAGTATTAGAGAATGGGTAGAAATGATGCAGGGGCTCCATCATTTGGTACCTCCAGTGCTTTCTTAGTATCCTGGGCTTATAGCTATCATTACAATTATGCTGCTGAACTGTAGTGATTTATGTCTGTATAGCCTTCCTTATTAGAATTTAAAGCTTTTTAACAGTCTGACAAACACCATTTTTATTCACTTTTATACTCCAATGCCAGGAAAAGGGTTTTACACACTGTAGATGCTAAAGATTATAATTTGAAATCACCAAGAAATACACAAATTTGGCATCTTGGTTAATAGGTTCAGAAAAGAGATCAAAAGTTGAAGGGCAGGGTGTCAATCTACCTTCTAAGTAATTAGATTTGTATGAATTTTGGAGGATTTAGACAAAACTGCTTGCTGATTACGTGTGAGAACTAAGAATTTTGAGTTCAGGTCCTATTTTTAATTTTTTGTATGGCAAAATGAAAAGTAATTATACAGGAAGTAATTCAGTGTTCTGCAACATGGAGACCAAAACTACCACTAGCCCTTTGCTAGCCAATCTGAGCATTTATCTGAAATTCATATTAATACAGTATTGGGGGTGATTCAGATAGTTTTGCCTCTTTTCCCTCTTTTGAATATGCATGGGAGCTTCTTTTTTTGTTCAGGACAATGTATCAGCAAATCATTGGTTTGCAATGGGGATTCTGATTGTGAAGAGGATGGCGCTGATGAAGACAGATGTGAGAACTCAGAAAGCAGAACTTCGTGTGACACTGATAAACCTCCTCCCAACATAGAACTTACTGGTAATGGGTAAGGTGCTGAGAAGCCTTCTGAGTATATCAAGGGTTGCAGCTTTTAATTTCATGGTCTGGTGGGTCTACTCACAAATCATCAAATAACCAAATCTTTTCATTGGCTCAAAGTTCTTTGCCACATTCTGAAACAATTTTAAAATTCATGTCTGTATATCTATAGATACAAGTAGCAAGATACAGAGTGACCTGTTGTTTTGAGACTGTCCTGGTTTTAGAACTATAACTTCTGCAACTAGGGGAACGCCTCAGTCTTATGGAAATCTGGACATTTGGTCACCCTATAGGAGTTAGAGCCGGAAGAAGGAGAGAATAAATTCAGTCATGGGGGTTTGTACTCAAGAGAATGAAGAGACATCAGAATGAGAGTAGGGAGAGAAGAGAGGTATGTTACAGTAAATACCCAGACTGAAAAGAGACTGGGAACCTAGCTTTCCAAGAGAACTTAGGACAATCCTATGTTTACCCTTTAAAAAAGAATTCTGTACAACTTTTGGAAGCTATCTTACTTGAGTTAAGGTTTTCAGGTTTTTCTCTATTTTAGCATATAGATATGATTTCCTGCAATATTTTAAAATTCATTAACAGAGGAATAGGATAAAGTTAGTTTAAGACATATACTATTCAGCATAGTAAGAGACAATCACTTGAAAATTCACTGTAGAAAGCTCTTTCTCCTCCAGACTAAACTTAATAGTATTGGTTTTATCTATAGATCCAATTCAAAACTAGCTGTTGCCATAGATAGGCTTGTGTATTTCCCAACTATGTTCTTAGATTTAAAAAAGTTGGGTTTTCTCAGCTATTAGCGTTGGCCATTATAGTAAGCAGGAGAAGTTGGATAATGCATGGTGTGCATTAGGATGCTGTTCTCTTTATTTGCACTCTCTCAAAGAAGTGCTTAATCATAAAGTATTATACAAATTTCTAGAGTTCTCTAATGATGTTTTTTTCATCAAGTACTATTCCTGTTTTTTTAAGTGCCTTTTCTTGCCTCCTTGTTCTCTAACTCCTCTACCTCTTTCCTCTCTTCCTTTTCGACTGTTTTTCTTTTGACAGTTACAATGCACTCACTGGTCAGTTGAGGAATGGAGTCATTAACACCAAAAGCTTTGGTGGTCAATGCAGAAAAGTGTTCGGTGGGGATGAAAGAGATTTCTATAGGCTGAGTGGAAATATCCTCTCCTATACATTTCAGGTACTTAATTATGTCACTTTTATTGATTTCTAATCTGTGAACTGTCAGAGATCATTTTTTTTTTTATGTGAAACTAACTTTTTAGTATTTGCTGAAGATTTAGTTATGGTCCGTTATATGGACAATGTTTTTCCTTTGTAAAACAATTTAGGTTTTTTTCCTTTTCATATTTATATTGGTGAATTATAGTTACACATAATGGTAGGATTTATGGTTATATTCATATTGTAGTCAATTTTTATAAATGTTTTATGTGGGTTTAAAAAGAATCCCTATTGTTTAACTCTTGGTTACAGGGCAGTAATACTTCTAATTTGTATCATTCAAGCTGACATTATTTTTGTTGTTGATTTTATGATGCTGGAAATCAAACCCAGAGCCTTGCATGTTCTAGGAAAGAAGCTGACATGTCCATATGCATAATTTCAACTTCTCAGCCTATGTGGGCTAAGGTCCTGATTGCCTATCCCTGTGTGAGTGTTAAACCTAGGGTCTTGGCACAAATAGTTTGATAATCTCCTTCTACTGCCATAGTGACAACTCATTTAAAAAAGCTTTCATTTTTAAATTTTGAAATATTTTATATATGCAGAATGTGCAATTTGACGAACAAATTGCAAATACCCATTCATACCCATCCTCCACCATAATGTGTTCAAAATGATGGTTTTGAGATTTAATCGTGCTGATGCAGATGGCATTTTTTTTTCTGTCTTCAATTTTCTCTTGTGAAAATGCCTTGAACACTCTTGTGCATGAGTCCTGCACAAATGAACTCAAGTTTCTTTAGGGCATATGCTTGGAACTCAAATAGCTGCTTTATAACTAGATATGTACATACTAAGTTTTACTGGCTAAAGTTTCTAAAATGGCTGTATCCGTTTCCCAGTGTGGAAGAGTGTCAGCTCATTGTCCTTGACGATGTTGGGGTTGCCTGGTTTTTTTTTTTTAGCTCTGCTTAATACCTAGGGATCTCCTTTGGTTCCTCACTTCTGCTTTTTGAATGCTTTTTCTGTCATGTGCATTTAGACTCTTTGTGTTCTTTTATATCAACACAAAATCTACTCATCCAAAACAGTTATAGCTTTAGGGAATTTTCCTGAAGATTTGGAGGAAAGATATCCCGATGCAGTGGTGTAAATGCTTCAGGCTGCCTTAGTTGGCATCTTCCATCTCAAAACCTCCTTCTACAGCCTCAGAAGTTTCTGGTCATATTCTGTTTTTGCCTCTTGATGTCCTCTTCCAACCTTTCCTCTCTCATTTCTTTTTTCCCTTCTTAGGAGTATTCACAAAATTTCCAGTTCAGCTCTCCTTATCTATTACCCCCAAATTTAAAAACAAAACTACTAGTTTGTTCAGACAGAAGTGCCCTGTGTTGACCCAGATTAATCTTCTCTGGAAAGCAGCTTTAATTATAAATGGAAAACTCCCCATCCTCCAACTTATGTAGAATGAGTTAGTTACACTTAAGAGTTGTTGAATCATGAAAATGAAATAAAATTGATCAAAGTATAACTGTATCTACCAATTTTTGAATATCTGCTGTGGCATCTGCTCTATCTTAGGAAGTTGGTATAGATTTAATCTTTACAATATCTTTGAAGAGAAGTATGTTTTACTATTTTATATATGTAGAAATTGAGGCTCAAAGGACTTCAGCCAATTTCCTCCACATCACCAAATTAACAGTTAGTAGGCCTTGGATCTAGTCTGTCATATTTTACAACTTTTTATTTTTCTATTGCCTTTCACCCTCTTCATGTACTGCACTTAATTTCTTTTTCTATTCTAAATTCTATTTGGGGAATAATAAGTATTGTAATTTAAACTTTGACCAGAAGAGAGAACACGAGATACGTACGTGTTGATAATTTTTCTTCCTCTATTCTTAGGGGGATGTGCTGCTAATTCTTTCATAATTATAAAGGGGGACAAATTGCATGTGAATTTTCTCAAGGGTCGAATTTAGAAAGTTCCAAAGCAGAGGCAATAAGGAGCATGTGTATTTCTGATTTAGTTGGGAGGTAGACATGTTAGGAGTCTGCAGCTTCTGAAGAAGACGAATAATTTAATAACAGCCTGGTCTTGACATTCATTTTCCTCAGCAGGGCTTGGTTTTTGGATTGACATCTGAAATGCCTTTCTACTCACTGAATGTGAAGGTGTTTGTCAGAAGTAGACAGAAATTATAGCCTGTTATTGAGTGAGGAATAGCGATGTTTTGAGGATCCAGCCTGAGGGAAGTGGGGTGGAAGCAACAGGCTGTGAGCCAGTCATCCGAGGGCTAAACCCCAATGTGGACATGGAAGTGGTGCATATCCTCCATAGCTCAAATGCAATGACCTGGGCTCACTGGATGTTCAGCTCTCTGCAAGGTAGAAGGGACTTTGACTTATTGCAACACACAGGTCTCTAAATAAACATAAAGCAGAATGAGTTGGTCTCTCTTACAATCTCTGGGTGATTAGCATTGTAGCCTCTTTATGGCATACCTTGTTTCTTTTTGAGTAAGCCACAGAGTTTGATGTCATGCACATTCTCTGCTTATTCATACTTTCCATGCAACAAGGAAGAACTTTGAAACGTAAACCTGATGGCTACTTGGGAAGGTGCCTCTCTGTGCAGCTAGTCTGGGAGATAGGTGAAAGACTGTGATGTTCATTGCAGATGCAAGTGCATTAAAAACTAAGCTGGACTCACGTCATGGGCTCTTCTGCATTTGATCATGAATGTACTTTGTGACTTTTTAAAAAAATGTTTCCAGATGTTGATGGACCTTTATTTTACTCATTTATTTATATGTGGTGCTGAGAACCAAACCCAGGGCCTCATACATGCTATGCAAGCTCTCTACCACTGAGCCACACCCCTAGCCTCACTTTGTGATATTTTTTGGAGATCCCATTTGTATATCAAATGAATAACAAAAACATATTATAAATGCAGTTTTCACTAATGCTAAATTATCGGAGCCTCTGCTGCTTCCCTGAGGACTACATACCTGAGATTTCTAAATCTACCTTTTGACTGGAAATAATTTGGGTGATGATAAAAATAGCTTACATTTAAGAAATGTACACTAATAAGCTGTGTTCTGAGAGCTTCACATCTTTTCTTCTTGTACAGGTTGATCATCCCTCATCTGAAAATCCAAAATTTGAAATGCTCTAAAATATGAAACCTTTTGAGCAATGACATGAAGCAACAAAAGGAAAATTCCACAACATGAAATTTTGTTTTATGCATGAAATTATTACAAATATTGTTTAAATTTACCTTCAGGCCATATGTACAAGGTACATGTGAAACACAGAAAAACTTTGTGCTCAGGCTTGTCCCATACCCAAATATCTCACTATATATATGAAAACATTCCAAAATTCAAAAAAATTTGAAATCCCAAACACTTCTCATTCCAAACAGTTTGGATAAAGGGTACTCAATCTGTAACAACCCAAGAAGGTGGTATTGCTGTTTCTTTCTTTTTTTGAAAAAAAAAAAACATGATTTATTTATCAAGTGTTGGAACTCTAACACATACTTGAAGATCTCTCTGCAAGAGTAGATACAGTTAAGGAAGAAAATCTGAAACTAAAAACCAGAAAGCTGTTTCTTATTTCATAGATGAGGAAATTGAGGCAAATAAATGTTAAATAGCTTATCCATGGTCTTACGAGCAGATGACAAACATCAGGGTTGAATTATAGAAGTCTGGCTCCGATACTACATTTATAGGCTATGTATCTCTATGTATCGATTCTCTGTATCTATATGTACATACTTATAATATAAACACCTATAATATATCTACATGTCTATACATTGTCTATATTTAAAAAGAGAGCAAAAGAAGGAGAAGGAGAGTAATGAGGTGAAGAAAGAGCAAGAGAGAAGGAAGGGCACTTCAGAGTAATTGAAAGAAGTTCAAACTGACTATATTCCAGAGTGAAGTGTGAGGAGTTGCAGGAAACGAGGTTTTGAGTGATCAGGAAAGTAAAAAAAAAAAAAAAGATTTTTTTTTTTCAGGTGAGGTAAGCAGTTTGGGTTACCAAATAGCCATTGGAGAGTTTAAGAAGGGAATTTTATACCACTCTTTTGGAGAGTGTAGAATGGATTGGAGGGTGGCAGACCTGAAGAAAGAAACCTGGTCCCTGAACGGTAGTGCTAACCCTTAAGGGAAGCAGTAGTGGCTTGTGGAAGCCTGGTGAATGATGGAGGATGATGGAGAGCCAGCAATCAGGGACATGAATGCGTTTTCCACATGAACCAATGGCTAAAGAAACATACAATTCAATGTGTTTAGAAGGTTTAGAAGGAGAAGACCACGATTGGGAAAGAACCGTGAAGATTAAGCTGAAACAAGAAGAAAGTAAAAAGTAGAAAATGCTGATAGAAGGGAGAATGAGTCAAAGAACACATCTCTAAGAATTAAATAGCAGATGTGGCAATAACAAAATGAGAGTGAAAGATTAAGGAATATTAGAGTGTTGGATGCTTGAATTGGTGATTTCAGAGAACAGATTAGGCTAGGAGAATTTAGGACCTAAGATGGAAGAAGAAGAGTATTAGTTAAAGAAAACTTAGGAAGACCACACTACCTTGAAAAGATGGTTCCTGCAGCTGTGCACAGGGTAGATGGGAGTCAGGAGATGATGCACTAAAGCAGCCAAGAGGCTCATTTAAATGTATCAGGAATCAAATTTTTTTTTTTTTTTGCTTTGCTTTAGCCAGGCAAGTGCACACCACTGAGTTGTACCCCAGTCCAAAGGAATCAAATATTTGAATTTTGGATCTAAAGATAGGGGAAAAGAGGCTTTTTTTTTCCCCTTCAGAAGTGAGATAGATGATACGTCTCTCTCAAAAGCTATAAAAAGTTAAATTTTATGTCTCTCCAGAACCAAATTGTACTGAGATACTATCTAGTGACTGTAAAAATTTCTAATAAAACTTTGAATAATGCCTTCTTTTTATCAATCAAAATAAATGAACAGTATATAGTATCCATTTTGGCCTGAGTTGAATTTTTGTGATTTTTTTAACAACCCAGTTTCATACTATAATAAAAATGATGCTATAAAAATTCTGATTAGATCCATCTTATTTTTCATCATTTTGATAAATATGCATGATTTTCAATATGTGGTAAAAGTCATATAATATTTTGTTGCATTTTGGCTTATTTTCTTCTAGTCTTTTTTTTTGGCTAGGGATATACTTGCATGGTTAGAGTTAATAGGGTTTTCACGTTTACATCTCCTGTCTCATTTAATGCAACAGTATGAGTATTTTGTCTGCACATGCATTATTTAGGATGATTGTATTCTATTCTGTAATTTTCTTTCCTTTTAGTTTTTTAAAAACTGTATCATATCCATCTTTTCTATTTTCTCTATGCTTACTTGTGGTTTGGTCTCAAACACAGATGTGTGCAGACATATAATAAAAATGCAAATGGGAGTGGAAGGAGAGTTCCTAGTCTAAATATTTGTAAAGAATAGACATCGTGAGAGGGTGTCTCCTTGCATGTTTTGTTTTATTCTCATGAAGTTTGGCATTTTTAGCAAATCTGTTGCTTATAATTTCAAAAAATAAGAGATTTTTAGATAAGTATTCTCTTGAAACAAAGTCAGCCACTCTGTCAGTACTCGAGCTAGTTGTCAGATGGTGTGATCATCTGATGGGTTCAATTGATGGGTGTCCCTTTTAGACAGGATATGTGCTCACTTTTTTACTACTAAGACTCCCTCTAGAAGTGTCCAATAATTATAATACTTGCTGGCCCTTGTGGGCATTTCATTTTCACACTTAATGTAATGTGAAATTTAGGATAAATGTATAATTGTCACCTCTATGAAAGCTGGCACTGTTACTTATCAGCCAAGTGTAACTAACCTATGATTGGCTTTAAAATTCTTTAGGAATGTCCTTATCTCATGTCATTTAGCCCAGGAAATATTATCGAATTTTAGCATTCTTTTAAGTCAAATAGAAAGTTAACTCCACTATCATTTCACATAGAACATTCCAAAACAAAGTCCCTATGATCTAATTGTTCATATCACCTTTTTGTATCTGTTCCTATTAGGTGGAAAACCAAGAGCCAAATGCCTGTGATTCTCTGCTAGTGTAGTTGTGGAAATTTGCTCACTTTTAGGAATGCTGACATTCATGGAAAATGAAAGATGTGTGTACACAAATGTGTTTTGTGAATCGCTTGGGTTTGCCATCATTGATGCCATGTCTCTTTTTTCATAAAGTGTAATTATGGAATGATCTCTTGCCTTTTTACTCACACTGGCCTGATCTTAGTGAGAACCACATTTGTTTTGGATCAATGTAAAGCTTGTTCTTTTCAGAAGATTGTATGAAGAAAGCATCCATGTTAAAGGACCCATGACAAAAGTTTCTTGGGTATATCCAAGACCTTAATTTGGTCATAGCATTTTTTTTCTTTATTTTCTTTGTAGGTGAAAGTAAATAATGATTTTAATTATGAATTTTACAACAGTAGTTGGTCTTATGTAAAACAAACATCTGAAGAACATACATCTTCCAGTAAGAGCTCTTTCTTTTTTCATTCCTCATCATCTGCTTCACACAGTTATAAGTCAAATTTCAATGAAATCTATAAGAAAAAGGTTAGTATGAAATATCAGCTAACTTTTCCATATTTTTCCAGTTTTAGGTATTGCTGACATTTGCAAAGTGCATTTATGAAATGATCAGTTTTCCTATTTAATTAAGGCAATAGCATTTCTTTAGGAGACAGTACAACAAATTTCTTTAAAGGTATAATGCTGTCTTATTAATTCTCTTTGACAATATATGAATTTGTATTCTTGTTTTCTCATTAAAATATTTGTTCTTATTTGAAAATCTTAGAAAAACTTATCTCAAAATCTTCTATTTTAAACTATCCTAAATTTCTCATTCATGATTACTGATGTTACTATTTTAAGTGTTATATACAGTGTAAAAAATCCAATAAATGCTTTTGCTATTTACAGAGAATTTTTAGAAGGTATATGAAGATTCTTAAAATACTTTATTACTTTTGAAATACCAAAATTCTTATTATTTGAGGATTATAAGACTTACTTTTAAAATCTTTGTTGTTTTGAGGTACGAAAACTTTCATATTGAGCAGTTGAAATGAATTGTACTAATTGATAAATTAGTAGAAGAATTTATCAGGTTGATCACTTTCACAATCCACACATTTTATCTCACCCCTTAGAGCCAATAGTTTGGTTAATAAATCATGCAGGAAAGTTAACAGGAATACTGATTTTATTTATTTTATTAACTAAGGAGGTATGAGAATGTGAACTGTTAAAAATATTTACCATCTCCATATTATTACATTTTTCACACAGTGGGAATTTGATATAAGGTATCCAACATCTTGGGTATTGTTAAAAAAGAAATGCTTAGGAAGTGTTTGAAAGATCTGTTGTAAAGTAACTTTACTTGTCAATACTCTGTCTGAGAGATAAATTATACAGTCATCTTATCTGTAAGTCATGGTCAAGGTGTGGACCCTAGGAACACATTATTTTATATGCTTATTTATAAGATTGTTGAGCAGTTGGTGAACTTGATTCTTTTTTCTTAGTTGAGGAGGGCATAGTAACTTGATCTTGGGGTTTTGGGAGTCATGCGTAAAATGAGTTATCATGGTGTCACCCAGGTATTATTTTTATTTGGGACTTCAAAATTGCTCAGATTGCTTCATGAGGGAGGGCCCAGAAGAGACCTCCTCATGTACACGTAGAAAAATCTATCTTAGTTGATTGGAGGTTGCAGGTGATGGAGATATTGGATAGGGAATGATTTTTTAACATTCCACTTAAAACTGCTTTTACTCTTTCCTTATAGAGTTATCAATTATTGGTTATTCAGAACACTGTTGAAGTGGCTCAGTTCATTAATAACAATCCAGAATTTTTACAACTTGCTGAGCCATTCTGGAAGGAACTTTCCCACCTTCCCTCTGTGTATGACTACAGTGCCTACCGAAGATTAATTGATCAGTATGGGACACATTACCTGCAGTCTGGATCCTTAGGAGGAGAATACAGAGTTCTATTTTATGTGGACTTCGGAAAAGTCAAACAGAGTGGTACAGTATTAAAAAAATGTTATCTAAAAGCATTTCAGGGATTTTAATGGAGAAATAAAATGGAGAAGTAACTTTTGAGCTTTAAAATTTAATTGCAAGAATACATTACTTTCTATTCAAAATCTCACCTGGTTTAAAAACTTTCTGCTAATATCTTTTAAATAATACTCCGAGTCAATCATTATCATTATGGATTATCTCCAGGGAGTGTTGGTTTAGAATGTAACCTTTCCTGTTTCTCAGATTAAACCATATTTCTTGAGGCAAAAATGAATGAGGAATTTACTGATATTCTAGAAATCTAAATGTTTTAAAGAAGAATTTTATTTACTTCTGTTCTTTATCTCAAGTCCTTTTAAAAAATCTTCACTACCACAGGTTTGCTTGCTATATAATACTTGAAACAGTAGCTTAATTCATTGGATGCCTTCTCAGGAAAAGTGAGTTTTGGGTTACCAATAATACTACTACCCAGTGAGATAGGCACTCTGATGCCTGTCCCATGGAGACTCCATGCTATGATGTGACTCATTCAAGGGTATGAATAAGAAGGGTATTTAAACCCAGTAACTGGCTTCCCAGTCAGCTTAGCTTACTTCCTAACTATGTTGCTACTACATGGCCTGGTTTTTGTGAGAAGCAAGACCTGCCACTGAATTCATGCTTTGTGGACTCACATTGATAGGACAATCCCTACCATCTGCTCAGATGTGGGATTGGTGTCTTCACATCTGTGGCTCCTCTCCGGAGACCTTGTGATCTTGGCTTACTAATGTTCCAAGTCAAACCTCCTTTCCTGACTTTGTCCTTTAGTTGATGCCCATACTTCCTTATTGATTCCAAAAATACCTTTTCAGGTTCTTTCCCTTAATAAATATTGTGTTATTAGGACTGGGACTGTGGCTCAGTGGCAGAATGCTTGCCTTGCATGTGTGAGGCACTGGGTTCGATCCTCAGCACCAAATAAAAATAAACAAATAAAATATTCATGCTGTCCATCTACAACTACAAAAAAGAAAAAAAAAAGATTCTGTTATAACCTTGGAGAAGAGTAAGACTTCTTGCATGAGACTCAGAAGAAGTTTTGTAGCATTTTTCATATGAAAAGTATAATATTTTCCTGTTTATACTGGATTTTTTTTGTAGTTCTCTGTCAGATAAAATTTAACTAGAATTTGTACTTTTCTAATTTCACAGGTTGAAAACGAATGCACAAGCATGGGTTTTTATAGCAAAGACAGAGGTATTATTTTTTTTGGATAATCAGTCCATCAAAGGATTGACCTAAATTCAGTTTCCCTATTTCAGTTTTATAGTGCTTAAAAGAAATGGAGATTTTTAAATAAAAAGCTCCCACATTAGTAAAATTTTAAGTAAAATGTTTCCATTTATTTTCTTAAAGTTCTAAATTAAATATACTAAAAACTTGTGGATGTTATCCATGTTCCCAACTGTTCTTTAACAAATGCTTATGCCTATAATGAAAACTATTCAGGAGACTGAGGCAGGAGCATGGCAAATTTGAAATCAGCCTGGGAAACTTAATAAGACCCTGTCTTAAAATAAAATGAAAAGGGCTGCAGATGTGACTAAGTGGTAGAGTGCCCTAGAGTTTAATCTCTAATACCACAAATAAATAGAAAAATAATAAAATAAAAAATAAAACAAAAAATTGAGGCTTGGCTGGGATGTAGCTTAGTGGAGCATTTGTCTTGCAAGCAGAAAAAAAAAAAGGAAAAAAGGGAAGAAAAGAAATATTGAGGCTCGTCTAATATAGCTATTAAAATTATATCAAGATTATATGAGGAAAACATTTTTCCAAATTTTATCCTTTACTATCCTACTTTAAAAAACTAATTGACAAAACCACATTTGATCTATTTGATAATGAATAGAAATTGTCACTTTCTAAGGTTATGAGTTATGGAAAGAAGTTAAGAACCACAATGATAAAGATGGAGAAGCTGAGTTAGTAGAAACAGAGTGCTAAGAATTAACTAGTACAGAACCATAATCCAGCCTTTGAAGTTTCCAGTCAATGGGTTAGAACCCAACATACTCCTATGTTTATCCATGTGTTTTATGCCTGAGAAGCTGAATGTGACAGGGGAAAAAATATCATTCATTTGAGGTGTTCCATTTCTGCTGCCTCTACTGTTTCTTGCGGAGATTACTCTCACTTCTTCCTCTCTCCGGCCAAAGCTAAAAGAAAGCAAGTGCCAAAACCTAAATATCCTCTTTCTGAACTTTAACCTGTTAGAGTAGTTGAAAATGTACACATCATGTCACTCTTGATTAAATGGGTACCATAGCAGGAAACAACCTCTTATCCCCAGCCCAACACCTTGACCACCAAAGGAGTCCTTCAGTGAGGGCAAAAACTAAACACATTCTTTTTGCATTCCCCTGCCCAGATTCTGTTTCGTTAGAACATACGACATGTACTTCTTCAGATTTTCATTTTCTCTTTGAATCATCAGAGCAAGAATGCAAGGAACTGGAAGATGCTCTAAAATTGGGTTCAGGTAAATGAGAAGGGAGCAATCTGCATTACAAGCCTGCTCTCTCTCTCTTTTCTCTTGTTAATTCTTGGTCTGCATGGGCTTTTGAAGTGTTAGCAGGTGTTCTACTTTTTGTTTTTCATCTATTTGGATATTTTTGCTTTTGCTCTCCTTTTCATATGTCATGAAAGTGAGATGTCATGCAAGGTGGGTATCTACTCTGTATTGTAAATGTGTTTCCAGTGTACATCATTTCTTCTCCTACAATGGTTGGCAAACAAGTCTAGAAAAGTTACAGTATCAGGGTAAGATTTAATTCTACTTTATGATAAAGATATGTTATAAATCCAGTTAAGGTTTTTGGTGCATGCTTGTCATGATGGGGAGGGTGAAGAAAGTGGTGTGCCAATCTTTGAGTGATTGCAGAAGGAACTGGGAGGCAAATTGATGAAGACTGTGTAGGTATAAGGATTCCATCTTAATGGCTATTGGGTACCATGAAAAGATTTAATACAGGGAGTAAGTTAGTGAAGGATTACGTAGGAAAAGTCGTTGAAAAAAGAAGGGGGATAGAGAAAAAATGATCTGTTAAGAAAAGGAACAGGTGAGATGGAAAGTGAAGGAGGGGTGGAGAATGCTTCTCTCTAAGAGAAGTAAGGTAAGAACTGAAGCCTGACCATTGGATTTGGAGGTGAAGACTTTGTTGCTCTAAAAGGAAGTGATTCTGTAATGTTGAAGAAATAGAAGTGAGACAGCAGTGCATTGTGTGAGACCATGGATCCAGCAGCATTAGGTCTTAAATACTTCTTGAGTGATGGCAGAAATTGGGGTGAAAGTGAAGACTGACCCAGGTGCCATTATTGTCATCAAGGAAGCAAGGTTATCAGGATGAATTTAGATGACTGCAAGAAGGAGGGAGACAGTAGTAAAACCAGGTTTATGTACACACTCATTTGCTTTATTCCCCAGCTATTTATGGAGTCTCTAGGATGTGCCAGAAATTGTTCTAGTTACTGGGGATACAGTAGTGAACATGCCAGAGAAAGTGCTCCTCTTCAGGGAGGTGATGTGACACAAGAAGGGAAATTTTTGAATGAAGTGGAAAAATAATGTCCTGGACATAGAAAACATGAAAGTTGAAGCTTTGGGAAGATGTTGACGGTAGTTATTAGCTGGGTGACAAATTGGAAGCTGCTTGTTGATTTTATTTTATTATTTTGTATTTAACAAAATAGCACTTATTTTGTATTTAACACGTAGTACTTCTATAAGCTCAGCATGATTTTAAATGATCTCCACATAGTAACCAACATAATTATCCTATCTAAGAGGTAAGTAGTACTAATATTTCCATTTTATAGCCAGGGACACTGTGACATAGAAAAGTTGCTCAAGATCAGAGCTAATAAAAATCAGTTGCACTCTGCTGCCTTTTCTAGGGGAAAGGATTTAGCCAGAGCTCAGGGCTCCCTGGGATGTGAAGAAGGGGACAGGCTTAAAAATAACATAAAAAGCCCCCCCCCCCCAATTATATTCTTAGGGTGTAGATCTTAAATAGGTGTGTCTATTAAGACAATGATTCTCCAATTTTAGTATGCATGAGGAGCACTAGGTGGAGCCTGCTGAAATGCTGATTCTAGGGCTTATTCTCTCAAACATTCTCTCATAGTTCTTGGTTGGGACTTGGAAATTTGTAGTCACCCAGTGGTTTTGACTCAGTAACTCTGGACTTTGTGATATGTTGCATAAAAAGTGTGACTATTTACATATGAAAAATATAATTAACAATTAAACTGAGGAAGCACTCCAGTAATTTATTTAAAATATCAGGTTTTAATAATTTCTCATTTTAAAGGTACAATATACTTATGAAATTGCAAAATTTGGACAGCTACAGGAAAGGAAATGGAAACCACTCAAAATCTGATTTATAGGATTAAGAATTCTAGTGATAGCTTGTGTAAAATTCAATTAGAAATAGATAAAATATTTTTGAAAGTATAAGGCACATACATGGAAATTAGCATTCAAACTTTCAGAACAGTTTTCATGTGTTAGGTAATGTATTCCTGTTAAATAACATTTTTTTTTGTTTTTTTCATTGCTAACATATGAGACACAAGACTATTTTGTTTCTTATATTTTATTATATCAATTTTCATACATATAGGAAAGTTTGAAGAACATAGTAATTAATACCGGTATATATCTCCTATATTTAACAATTATTATTTTGACATTTCCTATGTATATGTGTATCTTAAGTATATATAGAAACATATAATATGTATGATCTTGACTGATTATTTACAGTATGTAAATGTCATGTATTTAAAATGTTTCTAATATTTGATGAACCATATGAAGGTAAGTTTCAGACACCATTATACTTAAATCCTTTAATATGCACGTGTATCTTCTAAGAAAGACCTTCTCCTGCCAAAGATGTTATACTTCTATTATGCTAAGAACATTGAAAAAGTTAACAATTTTCTCATTTTATTTACTCGACAATGGAATTTTTGTCTTTTTTTTTCCTTTAAAATATCTCATTTCTTAGAACACTTTTAGGTTCATAGCACAACTGAGAGAAAAGTACAGAGATTTGCCTGCCCACCAACACATGCAGTCTCTTCTACCATTTGTATCCCCCCTAGAGTGGAGCATTTGTTAATACTGGTGGATTTACACTGACACATCATTACCACTCAACACTAATTAACACGAGGATTTGCTCTTGGTGTTGTACATTTTATGGGTTTGGACAAAGGCACAATGCATGTATCTATCCTTGTAGTACTGTGTAGGATAGTTTCATTGCCCTAAAAACCTGTACTTTTTCTGATCTTCACTCCTTTGCTCCTGGCTACCACATGTCTTTTGACTATCTTCATGATTTTGCTTTACCCAGAATGATATACAGTGGGATCAATTTTTAAAAATATTTGGCAGACTTTTCACTTTTACATTCTCATTCTCATTTTGTTTGTGCACACAGATTTATTTTGCTTGATTTCTCCTGTGTAGGAAACCAGAACAATGTGTTGCGAGGAGTCCCATTTGTCAGAGGGGGAGGTCCCAGCTTCATAGCTGGCCTTAGTTTCCTACAGCTGGACAATCCTGCTGGTAACAAAAGGCGGTACTCCGACTGGGCGGAGTCTGTGACTCGTCTTCCCCAAGTCATAAAACAGAAGGTATGTGAAGCTCTCTTTAAGGCCTAGAAGCATCATGTTTATTTGCACTGGGAAAATGAGATTAAATCAAGGTGATTAAACAGCTGGTGGCAATTAGCATTTTCTGTATTCCAATTATGTTTTATATAGTGAAGTGAATGCAAGAAACAGAAGGTATGTTATCTGATATGTTCATATTTCAGTTGTAAATGTTAAATGTCTTGTACATCCCAAGAGAAATTAATGATGAAAGTTGCATTTTTAACTTTTGACCTGAATCAGATTATATCTTTTTTGATTTATAATTCAGAAAAATTACAGATTCTTAAAAGAGGAAGGCATGTAGACTTGTCAGCTATTACATCTGTCAGATCACCTTTCTTCCTGTGACCATGGCTTATGGGCTATTGAAGTCCTGTAAATTAGGATAGCACCAAATTGGCTGAAAAAATTTAGAATATTTTGTTAAGATGGTCAGTTCTATTATAGTACAACATATGTATTCCTATAGCACCAAAAAGTTTACCAAAGGGCTTATGGGAAAATGGGATGAGGGACACAACAATATCACACACATCATCTGTGACTCTCATTTAAAAAAAAAAAGGTACTTACAAAAATAGTAGCACATTTTTATAGGTGCTATGTTATTAAGAAATGCATTTGTTCTGCAATAAATGTGACATATTTCCTATAAAAAGATCTAAAGCTTGATGGGTGCAGGAAGGTTGGTAGCTGAGTAGTGATAGAAAGAGAACTATGAGAAATCTGACAGTTGTAACACTGGATGGAGAGGTGTAGCTTCTAATACAGGCAGTGAACTGTTTGAGGCGTACGTGTGCACATGCATTTCAAGTGTGCCTATCAGAGTTGGTTGGGCAGCATGCGCTTTTCTGTGTTCACCCTGTGTTTCTTATGGATAAAATTCAACAGAGGAAAATAAAAAATTGCAGTATGCACACGTTGTTCCTTAATATATCAATATTAATGGAACAAATCAACATTTTCAAAACAACCATAACAGCAGAACTCATTTTATAATCAATTTCCCACCATGGGAGTCAATGTCCCAGGCAAAGCCTCATTCTGAGAGATTAAGAGACTTGGGCACATTTTATATACTCAAAAAAGTTATAATAGCTCTTCAAGTACTCTCCTAACACCATATTACACCCAGTTGCCTCTGAATAAGCTGAGGGCGGGAGAGTGAGTTTTTCCTGGGAACTCTTAAACTGCCATTTGTTAATAATCAAAACGGAAATGGCCAATATTCATTATTGATGTCCCAAACATTCTTCAGAAATTCTAAATTGTTGATTAGAGGAAAAACAAGCATTCCTTCACATAGACTTAACTATGTACTTCTCCACAAAAGACTGTAAACTATCATAGTTGTGCTAACTTATTAACAGGGTACCAATGGAGTAATGAAAAAAGATAATGTATGACCATGCAAGGCCGACCTGCTCACAAAAGCCTGCCCCCACAAGCTTTTGGTGCACAACTCTTTCCAATTCCATGGTTAGTGACATCATGGTGTTAGTCTGAAATTGGATATGGTGAGAGTACTCTGTAGAATTGGCAAGTGCTACAAAGCAGAACCTTTTTGCTCCTGAGAGAACAGACTGTTAAAGTTTAGCCAGCACATCTGCAATTTTGAAGTTGCTTTTCTTTGGAAATATCCTGCACAGAGTAATAATGTATACCTGTTTTAAATTTCTCAAGGAGTGCATTCATGGTCTCCACTAAAGAGACTTGTTAAATCTCTCAGAGTCAAAAGAAATTTAATTCTAAGCTTAATTGTACTTGCTTCTTTGCTGTAATTTAAGTGCATTTCCTTTTCTTCTGTCCTCTAAGGGGGTGGTGATATATTATTTTCAAAATCATCTTCCATTAGCTAGAAAATGAATGTTCTGTTTTTTTAATTTTATGCATACACACAAGATATAAAAATATTTCTTCTCTATCTGATTCTAATTTTCCCTAGGTTTATCTTGATTGTGTTGCAAAGACAGTGAATTGCTTTCTTTTTTTTATTTGAACAAAAAAATATTGTACTGTGGTCCCCTTTGTCTGCAGTTTCACTCTCCTTGGTTTCAGCTTCAGATCAATGTTGGTTTGAAAATATTAAATGGAAAATTTCAGAAATAAACAATTCATAATTTTTAAGTAACTTTTATTGTAGCATAGTATTATAATTGCTCTATTTTATTATAAATTATTGTTGTTTCTCTATTATGGCACCTAATTTATAAATTAAATTAGGTAAATCAAGATAAAATAAATTTATAAATTAAATTAAAATAATTAGGTATGAATGTTTAAGAAAAAACTTATATATACAGGGTTGATACTATATGTGATTTCTGGCATCCACAGGGGGGCCCTGAAACATAGCCCCTGTGGATAAGGGGAACTACAGAAATAGACATAAGGGTGGCTTTTGATTGTGTTTCAGTGGAGATTGTGCCCATGGGTAAAAAGGAAAACATTCTCACCTAAAGTTCTGAGCACTGACTAGAATGTCTTCATTTGTATAGCTGACACCTATATATGAGCTGGTAAAGGAAGTACCTTGTGCATCTGTGAAAAGACTGTACCTGAAGCGGGCTCTTGAAGAGTATTTGGATGAATTCCACCCCTGCCATTGCCGGCCTTGCCAAAATGGTGGTTTGGCCACTGTTGAGGAGACCCAGTGTCAGTGCCATTGCAAACCATATACATTTGGTGTGGCTTGTGAGCAAGGAGTCCTCGTAGGGAACCAAGCAGGTCAGTGTGCTGAATTTTCCCTAGTTTTAGGATGGACACATTGAAAACAGTATTACTTTTTCTCTTTGGCTCCTGATGTGCTTCTTTGCTACTTCTTTTTGTGACCACATTTGAAATCACATTTGAGTTAATCTCCCTCCATTTTTCATTCCCGGTTTAAAAAAAGGGTCTGCAGTTAAGACCTTCTGCTATCTCTCTTTTTGCCCACCTGAATTAACAATACCACTGTGCCCTCTACTCTCCATTCTCTATTAGAATAAAATTATGGATAAAATACCTGCCATTTTCTTATAATTATCTCAAAAAGGTTTTGTTGTAACATTGGCCTATGGAGACTGAGTTTGCATTGCCTAACCTTTCTGACACCAAGCTCTTTGAAACATCTTTACTTCTGTTTTGTATTATGTATCATCAGTCAATTGCTCACAAATTTTGTTGAAAATCTGCTGTGTGCTCAGTAGGATGGTGTTTCAAGTGCGTAGTACAGGGCTATGTGAAGTTGACTTAATGAGTAGTCAAAGTATGACTACAATTTAAACATAATTATTTTTATTCTTTTGTGTATTTGTATGTCTCTCACCTCTAGAAAACTCATTCCTAGGGAAGTTTGATTCCTTTCCTTATTCCTGATATAAGACTGATTCCTAGGAGTCATTAAATAAATGTCTGATAAGTGAATAAATACATGACTAAACAAATGGTTATGTATAGACAAACATCAGGAAGATATGCTTGTCCTCAAATGGCTCTGTAAGTGGCCTGTCCTGGTAAATTGAAATTCCACCATGTGATGCTTTCCTCAGTGGCTTTGATTTCCAGTGTCTGTTGAAATTGGAGCACCCCCTGCTGGTAAGAACTGGAGTAGCGATCACAACGTTTCGAGCGATTGTTACTCTATATTGACATACTCCGGAGGCTGCTTTATTAAATAAATTCTAATTAGGACAACGTAAGGAAAACCATTGGAAAATATCATACAAATTGGATTAGTTTTGGTGTGTGTGATACTGAGGAGTAGATGTGGTTGGGAGAAGAGGAAAGTGGTCACAAAAAGAAGTAGCTAAAGAGCAGTGTGAGCACACGCGCTTGCACACTCACACATTGTCAGGAACCAGTCGTTGTCAGGATCCAACCGTTCAAGGGAATGGTTTCTGAGGTCATGTCTATGTAGGAAATCAAGGCTCTTAGAATATGAGATAGGATATCATCCCCTCCACCCCCAGGGATACGACAGGGGAAAGCACTAGAAGAACTCTGAATCTTAAATGGGCTCTAAGGCAGGATGGTTGTGGGTAGGGTGGTTGAAGAAGTACCTACAGATTGGAGAAGAATACTGATGGGAGGCAAAATGGAGATTTAAAAGCATTTCTTAAAAAAAAAAGCATTTCTTCTGTTTGATTCATTTCCTCATCTTGTACAGTGCCAGCCTAGGGTTGGCAGACTGGGAGGACCCAAAAGGCTGTGTTCTCTTCATGCCAAGCCAGTGCTTTAACTGTAGGACATTACTTGCCTTATGGAGAGACTGTGGGGTGAGGAAGAATCCTGCACTCAGCTAGAAGACCAGAGTACAGTCTGGATGTGGCTCCTGACAGCCATTACAGCATTGAGCATGGCATTTAGCCACTTTGCCTTAGAGTTCATGTCTCAATAGTGGGAATAATAACAACCTCCTGCCCACCTCCACTTGTTTTTGTGAGAAGTATATAAATGATACATTGTCCATGGAAGTGCTTTAGAACAGTTTTGTAATATAATCAATAGATTTAAGATATAATTACAAGAAGTCCACTAATGCAGCTTTAATATGGACATTCCAAGTCGGTGTAGAGCCATTCTGGCCATTGCAGAAAGCCCTCACTGAACAGAACAGAAGTAGTCAATTGCCACAATTGTCCCTCCCCTTAGCAAATATACTGTCAAGAAGCATAGCATTAAGCTCTGAAGTCCTCCTCTCCAAGAACTTACTGAAGAGCTTTTCCCTTATCATACAGGCGGGGTTGATGGCGGTTGGAGTTGCTGGTCCTCTTGGGGCCCCTGTGTTCAAGGGAAGAAAGCAAGGAACCGGGAATGCAATAACCCACCTCCCAGCAGGGGTGGGAAGTCCTGTGTTGGAGAAACTACTGAGAGCAGGCAATGTCAAGATGAGGAGCTGGAGCATTTACGGTAATGGAGATCAGATCTCTGGGCAATTGTGTAGAACAGTGTCCTCTGCAGTAAGTGTGGACAATGTGATGGCTGCTAGCAAAAGATTTAGATATTAGGTGGTGATTCTTATTCGTGATTACTTAGCTTCCTGGCACTGGACTTGGTGAAAGAGAGAGAAATGGCCCACTTGTGCTTGTGTGCTTCAGATTTTCCTGACATTAGGGTTAACCCAGAGCTGGGAGCAGCCCAGCTGAGCAGATATAAGTGGTAGCTTTGGCATCATGCAGATTTGCCATCTACACACTACACTTGCTATGTGACCTTGGGCAAGTTACTTACACATCTCTAAAATGAGAATAATAGTAGTAGATAAATCTATAATAGGATGCTGTTAGAATTGAAGGAGATGAAGCATGTAAAGCTATCAGTATGCCTGGAACATAGTAAACATTCAATAAATATTGTATCACTTTTCAAAGATGCTACTCTTTCTTATTTAGCTATTCTTTGGGTTAAACATAAAGCCAGATGTCTGAGGTGGATATTTTGACTGATTAGCCTGGTGGTCACCCGACACTTAGTCTACATTTGCGAGATCATTGCAAATGCCATCTCAAAAGTGCTTAGTCAACTAAGCCATTGTGTACTGGGTCAGAGATCCTTATGCCATATTCCACTGTTTTTTGCCATCTTTAGTAAATTCTTCTGATCAGGGAGTGAGAAGACGGTTCTAGTAAGATAATTTGAAGGTCATTTGAATTAAAGAGGCAAGGTTTTTGTGGAAGGATACCTCATTCCTAGGTCTTCATGCCTCGTAATCCAACTATAGCCAGTATCTCTTGACTGGGAAAGCTGGGAAGCATATGATTATGGTGGGAAGAGAATGTTGGCTTCAGAGTAGGTCCCTCAGGGAGGATGAAGGTCTGAGAGGATGTCTCTGCCTGATGGATTTATTTCCCCTGGCTTTAGAGATAAAGCTGAAGGGAAGGGAACATCGTAAGTGAGGCACTGAAGGAAACTTCACTCATCTTCATGTTCAGAGAAGTATCCTCCTTCTCAGGACTCGAAGGAAATCTTTGATCAATACTTCTCATTTCTGTGTTTCCTCAGCGTGCTACAAAAGGACAGGAGTTGAGCTGAGAAGGAGGCAGCACCCACAGGCTATTTGTATTGCACAGATTTCATGTCTCTGCTGTGGTCTGTTGCCCTCAGAGGCTCTGTTGAAATCCTCTGTTTAATGATGAATGTCATCATTATCCTTATTACACCCTGCCCCTAGAGATAATCCTGGTTATGGTAAATTATCAGGACTGGCATTGGTGAGAACATAGTAGTGTCTTTGTTCCTCCATCTTCCTTTTAGGCTCAGAGTTCTGGCCTCAAATCTTCACAAAACTTGCTTTTGCCAAAGAATGTTCTGAGTTACATGGTTCATAAAACAACGTGGACACTGTGACCCCATTGTCCTTTATTTTCATTTAAGAGGAAGAAGGAGAATGATTGCGGGAACCCCACTGACTGGACATGAATGAACTCAACCTTGGCATTTATTAGTTTGCAACCTTGGACAAGATATTCAAGTGTTCTGTGCCTTTGTTATACTCCAGGTGTTGCTGAATGAATTGAGATAATGAAGGTGTATAAAGAAGCTGCTGTTGTGTCTGCCACATAGTAAATGCTCAATAAGAGAAGTTATTATAATTCTGTGTTACCTTTCCCTTGGGTTTACTAAACTCTAATTACTATTTTCCAATACAGTATTAATTCTATGTTAAAGGAATTTTAGAACCCAAGGGTAGGAGAAAAATAAGGTCATTTCACAGGTGACCTCTAGAAATCCTGTAAAGTAGGTGTGTGGTCCAAAGACTTTTATTTCTTTCTGCTTCTTTTTTTCATACAGCAAATCTTGAGGTTATTTAAATTACTGTCTTTTGTTAAACTGAGTTAATGTTTGAATTTACACCGTACGATGTGATCAGATGTTTGGTTCCGAGAATGACAAAAACATCACATGAACATACTTGTACTTTCTACTTACAAACCTTCAGATATAAAGGAAAAATTCAATATAGTGCAAAATATTCATTAAGCTCTGGAAATCAATCACATTAATCACTTTTTGTTTCTTTTTTTTCTTTCAGATTGCTTGAACCACATTGCTTTCCTGTATCTTTAGTTCCTAAAGAATTCTGTCCATCACCTCCTGCCTTAAAAGATGGATTTGTTCAAGTTGGTTATGAAAGCTACTTTTTTCCTTTATAATATTCCAAGTTCTACTTTTCTACAGGGCCATAATTTATTTCCTTCTTCCATGGTGAAATAGTGCTCAAAATATCTGATATATGCGTTTTAGTTTTAGTGGTGAAGGTTTTAGTTTGTGGCTTTCCTTCTTTGAACCAAGGTGATTCAGACTGCAGAAGGCAGTATACACACTTAGTGTGGTGTGGGAAATCAACACTGCCACCCCCTGAATTTGAAACACAATTATGCCAGAGGGCTACTCCATATTGCCACTCTGATATTAAGAATCTACAAGCCTGTTCGCCAACTTACAGAACTTTTATTTTTCTTTACACTGAGAAAATTTTTTAAAATATTGGGCTTGGGGCTGGGGTTGTGATTTAGTGGTAGAGTGCTTGCCTAGCATATGTGAGGCCCTAGGTTTGATTCTTAGCACCCCATATAAATAAAAATACAGAAAAAAACAGGAAATGAGTAAATTCATGTAAAGGCATTAAAAATGTGAGGCCTGGATGAATTATTATTATTATTATTATTATTATTATTATTTTGTGGTGGTGAGGATCGAACCCAGAACTTTGTGCATGCTAGGCATGCATTCTGCTTCTGAGCTACATTTCCAGCCCACAAAGTGTTAGGTTTATTCCAGGAGCACGACATTTAGCTAGTGTCTGGTGAGATATGTATCATTTTAATTTGAGCAGTTTTCTTGTTCAGAAAGGAACACTAGTCATCTTGCATTTGTCATCCTAGGGATTTTACTTGGATTTAGAACCATATTAATTGATGCTGTTCTCAGTCTTTCTTATGATGAGACCTTGGCTCCGAATCCCAGTGGAGTCTCTTCATGACTCACGCAGGAGATACTGTTCATCAGGATGCTGTCAATACAACCAGCTTTGCTTTCTTCATGAAGGATTCCATTTTTTTCAAATTTTAGGCCCTTGAGCTGGAGAGTTTCCTGAAGTTTCCCCCAATTTAGAGAGAGTGAGAATATTTACTTAGCATCTCTCTTTTTTAATGCCTTTATACATGTTCTTTTTTTTTGTATTATATTTCTTTTTTTTTAAACTTTTTTTTAACATTTATTTTTTAGTTGTAGGTGGACATAATACCTTTATTTTATTTTTATGTGGTGCTGAAGATCAAACCCAGTGCCTCATACATGCTAGGCAAGCGCTCTACCACCGAGCCACAACCCCAGCCCTGAATTACAATTCTTAATACACATATGTACCACAATTTTTGTATCTCTATTTATATATAAAGTATGTTGACACCCAATTCGAGTCTTCATACATGTACTTTGTATAATGATTTCCATCACCATCCATAGCATCTCTAATGCCCCTTTTGTCTCCCTGTGGCCACCACAATCCTTGGAGTTCTTGAGTGAAACACTTTCAAAGGAGGCCAAGCAAACTCATATGCCTTAGAACCATGAAGATGTTGGCATCCCAAATTCCAGTGCATGTAGTACCCAAGGAGCCATGGTTTCTAAACATTGCTCTACAGACTGGCCACAAAGAATCTTCCAGAGAACTTAAAGATAGGGATTGCTGCTTGCCCCTGTCTGCCACCTTTTCTGATTTTATAGGGTAGACCCTATAAAAGAAGGAGGTACCAGGACATTTTGTTCTGATCCCTAAGGCAGAGCTGGTCTAGGTACCAGTCCAAGCCCTCCTGTATACCTCAGTTTCTCCATCATTCTCCTGGATGGCAGAACCTGAGAGGGTAAGGGAAGAAACAAAGAAGGACCCCAAATGATCCTAATTATCTTCTCAAGGTTCACATATTAAATTCTTTGTTTCACCTCCTGGCATTTAGGCTTGCAAAACATCCTTGAATCTGATCCAACCACAGCAGTATTTCTGTGCTTATAGTGTGAAGTAAGAGGTTGGGGTGGGAGAAGATCACCATTATGCTTTGCTTAAAAGTCATCAGTGAGAAAGTTAAACCTTCATGAAGATTCTGCTAGGATTTGAACATTTGAGAAACAGAATCCTTCAGGAAGAAAGGATTCTGTGGACTTATGCTGTCATTTATTAGGTAGCATTGTCAAGGAATAGCCTGTAATACCTTACCATTTGAAGAGCTTATGGACAAAGACACTTCCAAAATCCAGTAACAAACTATCTTTTACTAAACATGTTAGGGAAAGAAGTTTCTTGAACAGTGTCCTCTCAAGTGATTTTAGTGAAATGCTTAGAACAGCACTTGGTATTTTGGGAGCAATCAATACTTTATAGAACATTGATGTTTATGGTTTTATTTCAATTAGTGATGGTACTAGTATAGTTGATTAGGATGATTCTGGGGAAAATGCCTTAGAGACAATTTTCTAAATCAGTTATTTGAATGTAGGTTCTGATGATTAAAAGGGGCTATAATTTATAGACCAAATAAACAACAGAAACATTTTGTTAATGCAACATAGACAAACTCTACCTCTCTCCATCTTTTATTTTTGTTTAGGGGGAAGGTACTGTGTTTCCTGTTGGGAAAAAGATACTATACACTTGCAATGAAGGATACTCTCTTGTTGGAGACCCTGTTGCCAGATGTGGAGAAGATTTACAGTGGCTTGTCGGGGAAATGTATTGTCAGAGTAAGTGACCCAGATTGTAGTATATAACTCAAGATGAGAGAATAATGTGGGAGAAAATGAATCAAGATAAATAAGTACTCACCATATGCCCTATGTCTTGAAATCCTTTTCTTGAAAGGTTATATGATCCTGTTCAATTTTCATAAGTAACTTGATTAAGGCCTTAGCCATCTCCAGCTGGAAATGATCCTGTTCAGTGGGGTCAATTTTATTGCAATTTTGAAATTTCTGATATAAATTAGAATTATGGGAGCTTTCAGGCTAAGATCATCAGTACATTTTTTAGAGTTCAGTTACTATCAATCTACTTCTTTACATGCTTTGGACCCTATTCTGTTCAGATACAGGCATGTGAATAAGAACATCTGCATATTGTACCCTTCTATATCTACTCTTGGGCTCTTATTTCAGCTAGAGCCAAAGAGGAGGTGTTTGTTCAGCAGATGGATAGACAGAGTTGTAGGGACGCCTTTTTGTGAATTGGTTGTGGTATTCTCTGTGAAGAAAGCCGTAGTGCACACATGTACATTTACTACTTGGAAATGTACCCTTTAGTGGAACTTCTGAATCAATGGATAAGAATACACTGGGTAAACATGTATTAAACATGAGATTTAGTTGATGCTGTTAGGCTTTCAAGCACTTGTACCGATATACATTTCTACCAGAGTCTGAGGAATTATATCTGTACTTTTCTTTGTTTTCCATTTTCTTTCTGTTTCATCATAAATATTTTCCATTGATTTATCTTTCAGTTTATTAATTCTCCGTGTAATTGTGTATAATTTACTTTCATGAACTCTGTTTAATTATTAATTTCATTTTTCAATTCTGATGTAACATTTTTCTAGTTTTTAAACTTTTAAATTCTTTGCTGAAATTCTTCATCCTGCCATTTAGTTTTTTTTCAACATATTAATTATTTTAAGAACTGTATCTGCTAATTTTATTATCTATATCTCCATGGGTTTGTTTCTATTGTCTTTTTGTTGTATTTTGGTCGATTTTTGTTGTTTCAAATATTTCATTAGCTTTGCTTTGATACCTGTTCGAGTCTCTCAGAAGTGTTTATATTTTTAATTTTATATAGCTTTCATATTTGTCTTGTTAGAAGAAGGATTGTGAAGCCAGCAAATATATCATGCCAAAAATAAATCTAATGCCAGATTATTAGCTTCTTGAAAATCTGATATGTGACTTATATTTTGCTGCCTTTTCATAAATATTTAGCATATTTGGCAAAATGCAGGTGCTCAATAAATGCCATTTTGAATAAATAAATGGGTTTTCTGATGAAAATAGTGCCGAAGCAGAGCAGTATTTTTTAGAATATTGTCTAAAATCCTTTAGGGAGATTGCTAAAATTTTTTAAAATCATGATTGCTGACCTGCTTTCTGTAACTATGCATATTTCTCATTATTCTCTGCTTTTTATTTAAAGTAGAAGATTTGAGCCAGTGATATAATTGAGTAAGGAAGAACAGGAATGAGAAACCAAAAAACACTGAATACTTTTATGGTTGTCAGATTAAGGTGATGCTTTACAATTTTTAGGTAGTAATATGTCTAATTAGAACTGATGTATATGACTCTTAGGAAAATTCTGGAGGGACATCACCATACTAGAGAGTTAATGTCAGCTGTGAAAAGTCTGGTTTTTGCAGCAGACTGTGCTTGAAGACTATTTGTAGACTAATTCGTTTCAAGTTGTTCCACTGCTGTGAGGGCAGGGTGAAAAGATGATAGATGTTTTGGTCTTCTGTCATTCACTGGTCAGTTACATGGCAGGCACCATGGGGCAAGACTTTCAGAGCACAGTAACAATGAGCTCACTTCTTCCTCTTTGTCCTCTTATGTGAAAAAGCAGAGCATCAGCACCTTTTAAGACCGTTTTTAAAAAGATGGTTTAGGAAAGCAATCACCCCAGTATGCTGGTCTCTTTTATCTTTAGAGATTGCCTGTGTCCTACCGGAACCGATGAATGGCATACAGAGTCAACCCCACAAACCGTTCTACTCAGTTGGCGAGAAGGTGACTCTCTCCTGTTCAGGTGGCATGTCCTTAGAAGGTCCTTCAGCATTTCTCTGTGGCTCCAGCCTCAAGTGGAGTCCTGAGATGAAGAATGTCCAGTGTGTGCAAAAAGGTGTGTAGTTTCTGTGTCTACTCAAGGACCCCTGCACTCAAGATGAGTGGGGGTCCTTGTGGAGACCTTCCTGGTTCTGTACCTCCATCACTGTGAGTTGTTCCCTTCCTGTTGCCCACTAGGAGAGGGAAGTCAGTTTGTAGACTGTGTAATAGTTATTCAGATGGCACACACAGACTTAGGAAATGCAAGGGCAAGCAAGGATAGCCCTGGAGATCCTAAAACATTTAACTTACATCCTCCATCTGAAGGATTAACTTTATAGCCATTAAGGTGCCAAGAAAATGAAAGATTTTTGAAAAGCTAATATTTGGTTTCCTTCTGATTTTTGTCCTGTACTTTTATTAAGTACAGATTTTAAGTACTAATTTATATAAAATTCTGTATATTTCATTTCTGGGCACTCAGAGAGTTTATTGGCATTATTGAAATTGAAAATTTAAAAATATTTACATCTAACTCGGTAACACAACCGTGATTGAAGTAAAAATATTGTGGTTTGTGAAGTTGTCCTTAATAGTGGAAATTTAAAAAATCAGTATTTTGAATGCTGGGCAAATTAAAACGTTCTTTTGAGAACCTAAGGTAGAAAAGGATTTAGAAGCAAACTATTTTTTAAGAGATATTCCAGATGAAATGGATTTATTTTAAAATATTTTCTCTCTCTTCTTTGTTTGCATTGTAATAAATAGAAATATATTTTTTAACAATTCAAAACAGGAAAGAGGGACAACTCACTTGAATGCTGTTTTATAATGTATCATTCTTGAGTGTATGACTTTTAATGTAATGCTGAAATTTTCTTTTTTGGGGAGTCCATTTTATTTTATTGTTTTATTTTCTATTAATTCATTTTCATTATACATAATATTGGAGTTCATTTTGGCATAATTCCACAAGCATGGAATATTGCTCCAATTCAGTTTCTGTTACTTTCCCTCCTCCCTTCCCCATTGACTTTCCTCTACTACTCTTTCTTCTATTTATTTATAGTGTTTTAAAATTAGTACATTGTGGATACACGTAATAGTGAAATTCACTGTGGTATATTTATATGTGTACATAGGAAAGCTTGGTCACATTCATTCTACCGTTCCTCTCTTTTCCTGACCCTTCTTCCTTCCCTTAATTCCCTTTCTACTCTACTGACCTCTCTTCTATTTGCATGGATTCATACCCACTCTTTTTCTTTCTTTTTCCATTATTTTTTCAATTTTTGTTTTTTAGTGAGGAAGAAGTACTAGATTCCATAAGTGATAGTGTAGGATGAATTAGATGCTTGTAACCAAAAAGAGAGCACAAGCCGCAGGGAGTGCTCTGCTCTGAATGGTGGGAATGGGCTGTAATGATCGACAGGCGATGGACAGGAGGATGGGAGCAGAACAGGTCCAATGGAGTGCCCTCCATGCCAATCTGATGTGCTCTTTAGCTATCAGAGCCCCACATTAGAGGATGATTGCTTTGTTTTCTACACACACTGAGGCATAAATATGAGTTCATTTGGGATATATAAAGCAATGCACCTGTAGCCATAATTCTAAAATGAAACAGAACAATATATAGTTGATGATGTTGCAGTTTTGTTTCAAGGAGGTTATATATTTGCAATTCTGAAGTGTATGCTTCAGTCATTTCATAGCACAATTTAGCACAATTTAGTATGAATTTTCTCCCACTCAAGAGAAAATTCTATTTAATTTGATTTTAATTAAGGATGTTTTTCAGACCTGTATGTTTTTCTGAAACTATTCTTAAAATAAGCCTATAACAAACAAAAAAACAAAAAATCCCAGGTTTGTCATCCTCTGAAGTTGGTATTTTAAAATATCAACTAAAAATAAGTAAAATCAGCTGTTTCAGTAGTCTTGTTTATTGTGGCAAAACATGCATAAGGCTTAACCATTTAGCATTTTTAAAATGTGTAGACCAGTAGCATTAAATACATTCCCACTGTAATACAATCATCACCACTCTCCATCTCCAGTATCTTTACATCTTCCTTCAGCTGAAACTCTGTATCCATGGAACAGTAACTCCCATTTCCCCATTCCCATTGAGGATATCTTGATGTGAGCAAAGGCACATACTCTAGATGTGCTCTAAGAGTATTTATAGGTTAGCCAAGCTATGATGATAAAGTTATGTTCTTCTTAAATGCAATAGTCTTTGGTCTAGGTGATCCTATCAGAGATTTTTTTTTTTTTTAACAAAGAAATTATAAAAACTTTCGGTAATCACATGATATCTAAAATTTCAAAATTTATTCTAAAATAAATTTCTGGTCAAATGCAGAGCTAATTCCCATGGCTTTGTCATGAACTTTAGTTCTGGTATATCTCTAGTGAGATTTCTCAGCCTCAGTGCCATTGTGCTTTGGGGCCTGGTGATTCTCTGTTGTGGAAGCCTGTCCTGTGTTCTGTGCTGTTTAGCAGCATCCATGGTCTCTACCCACCAGATGCCAATAGCATCTCCTCCTCAGTGTGACAATAAAAAATGCCTCTAGACATTGTCAGATGTGCCTCTGGAACAAAACCTTCCCTGGTTGAAAGGCACAGATCCAGAAAACATCATTTTAAAAAACATTTTTTGAGGGGGAATAATTTTAGATTTCAAAAAGGTTGCAAATACAGTTTCTACATACCATTTTCTCATCTTTCTTTTTTTACGTCACTTGAAATAACAGTTGATTAAAAGTAAAAAATTAGTATTAGTACAATACTGTTGATTAAATTACACACATTATTCATATATAACTAATTTTCCTCTAATGTCTTTTTATGTTCTAGGATCCAATTCAGGACACTACATTGCACTTAGGATAATACCATTTAGAATTGAAGTGTTTAAAGAATGAGTACTTGTAATTGAGATTTCTGATCCTGGTGGGCATGCTTCATATTATTACCGTTTTTCCAAATTTATGAATTGTTCACAAGATTGTACTGTCATGTCTAAATCTTTTAAAATTTTCAAAAAGAAATATTCCATTGTTTTTGTATTCAAAAAGGCATGATTTTCTGATAAACTATCTTTAAGATTTGTAAAATGAATATCTAGTTTTATGAGCAAAAGTACATTCCATTGACTTCCATTGCTGATAGGAAGTGGGAAAATCAGGTTGTTTTGGATGATTTACATTGCAATTGGCTATAGCCAAGGTGATGGCAGTCAATGTAGGCTCTTGTAAACTGGACCAAGGTATCGTTCTGTCAAAATCAGAATGATAGTTTGCTATCAGTTTCTAGAAGATAAAAGATAGAATCTTATTTAATGTAATTACCGCCAAACATTTACTCACTGTTGTTAGGAAGGATTAAATATCACAATGTATTAAAAAGTGCATGACCAAGTGTAAATGCTCAAGAAATGGTAGCGATTATCACCAATGTAATTATTTGTAGAGCATTCCCCTTGTAAAATGCTCTATAGTTTTATTATTAATGCTTACCATAGAACCCCTTTGCAGCTGAGAATAGTACAGACTCTAGTTCAACAACAACAATAATAAAAAGTCTTGCTTACTATGAAGATGCTCTTCTTCCCTGATAATTTCATCTCCCTTTTGTTTTTTCTTTCAGACACCCCTTTAACACAGGCAGTGCCTAAATGTCAGCGCTGGGAGAAACTGCAGAATTCAAGATGTGTTTGTAAAATGCCCTATGAATGTGGGTAAGCTCTGTCCTTCTGTTTTATTTTATCCAAGACAAATGAGGTGATCTCTTAGGTGTTAGTGTCTGTGTATTGAAGGTGCAGTTTACTAAGGGTTAAGGATGTTTGTGTTTGTTTGCATTTTAATCCAGTCTTTTCCTCCCTGGTACTCACCAGGGTCACCAGACTGACAGCTATGGTGTTAAGCTAGCTGAGAAAGGCTGAAGGACTATTTGAGCATGGCTTGCTCTATACATAGAATTGAGCGAAAGGACAAAACTGTCACCTGAGGATTTAGAGCTTTAGATGATTAGGCTGAAATTCCCTAGGGATATAAAATTTAAAGCAATACTGATGGAGAAAGAGCAGCTACTTTTCTGATTCTTGAAGCTTGCTTTCTAGATTTGCATTAGAAGAATGCTGCCAGCTTGAAATCATGCTGTTGTCCCAGGGCATCTGCAGTTGTTAGTTAGATGTTGTTAGATGCCTGTGTCAGGGTCCTAGTAAGATACGGACAGCACAATTAGATTAGGATAAGAAGAGGTTTATTAGCAGGTTGATTTACAAAATTGTGGGCAGAGTAAAGGAAACTAGAAGCCACAGGGCAGTACTCCTGGACTGGTAAGGCTTGGCCACGTGTCCACTCTAGGACTGATAAGGCAAGAGGAGGGGAGCACTTATGAAACCTGGAGACCGAGAGAACTAGGTGAGATGGCTGCAGAGGAGAAGCTGACTCTCTTTTAAGAGACCTTAGGAGGTCTTACAGGAGTGAGCCAGTGGAATAAATACCCCAGCTGAATTCACTTTCTTCCCTGCCTATACCAGGGCTCTCCATTGATAAAACCCAATTGAAGCTAGAGGACAAAGAAGTGTAACCTTTACATGCCAGCCTCCCAGGCAGATGGGGAAGAGTGGAGGGTCTAGGAAGAATCAGGGAATATCTAGCCCCTCAGCTCATGGGGCATCTTTAAGGTTAAAAATTGAAACACTAACCTACCAACAAATTACTTGGTTTTCAATTACTATGGTCATCAGCACCCATATAGAACTTCCTGAACCTACTGTGGGTGATTCATACAATGATTGTGTGTAGTAACCTCTGGTGCAGAAGAATATAACTGAATGTATAAGTGGAAATGGTGGTCAGCCCAGATACATTCTGACTCTTGCTGTTACTCTCTGTTGTTATTAATTACTCTCTGTTAATCACTTTCCTTCTCTTTCCAACTCTACTGGTTCCTTTAGTTAATCAGCAGCCAGCCATTTATAGACTTGATATGAGTTTTTGTATCATTTCACAGTATCAGATACTGATAATAAGGTGGCATTATAAGGTCTCTGCCCTTTTAGCTGTTCTGAGTAGTTCTATTTAAAGTTAAAATAAACAGAGAAAAAAGTTATATACAAAACAAAAAAAGTTTTTGTTATATAAGCAACTTTAAATAAATTGAGCTTTAGGTCAAAAAAAAAAAAGAAGAAAATATCAGAGCTAAATAAAATATGTGAATGTAAAGTTTTTCTGAGCCCATATGGTATATGAAAAATGTTTTGTTATCTGAGTTTTCACAAAATAATGCTTTTCTTATCTATCTGTCAGTATTTAGAAATGTAGTTGTTTTCATTGGTGACATTTCTAAATAGCTGTCTCTTACCATTTTAGCTCCAATGTTTAAGAAAAAAGGTAGCACACTTTTTGAAATATTTCTAAAGCACTTTGTAAACATAGACACTTTAGAAAATAGCATTGTAAAATACAGTTTTATCTTCCCTTGATGATTCAGGGTTATTAATTATTAGACATGCTGTATTATGAACATGAAATCTCTGGGCTGCTGGGCTGGGAGGAGTTAATGTCTCCTGTGGTCAATGGTTTCATTTGACTATAATCTCTCTGAGTGATCTTTGCTGATTTTCTGTCTCCTTTATTATTGATTCATTGACAGTTGCTGGCATAACTCACCTTCTCATCTAATTTGCTATATCTGATCTGTCCTAGCTGAAAATAAATCAACCCACAGTATCTATGCTTGGAAGGATTGTGAATGCTTAGAGTAAATATGCTCATTTTGAAGCTCTGAGGTGGTTGGGTCCCAATGAAAAGAATTTGAGTTGATGTTTCATCTTTTGCTGTGGGTGAATAACCTGTGGGGTAATGACCTCAAAGGTCTACTTTTTTACTTCTTTTCCTCAGCTTTTAAAAACAAAAATCTTGTAAATAATGTAGTCAAAAATTCTTTTCAGATCTTCCTTGGATGTATGTGCTCGAGATGAGAGAAGCCAACGGATACTGCCTCTGACAGTTTGCAAGTTGCATGTTCTTCACTGTCAGGGTAGAAATTATACTCTTACTGGTAGGGACCGCTGTACTCTGCCTGCCTCAGCCAAGAAAGCTTGTGGTGCATGTCCATTGTGGGAAAAATGTGATGGTAAGGAGCATTTTGTATTTGTAACATAGGAAGGCTAAAGTAAGGATAGGGATGTACCTCCATGGCAGAGCACTTGCCTACCATGTGTGAAGCATTGGGTTTGATACTTAGCACTACATAAAAAAATAAACAAACAAAATGAAAGCATGCTGTCCATCTACAAATACAAAAAAAGTGTGTGTGTGTAAAGTAATAATACTGAGCTTTTAAACAACATGGTTTCTAGTTTAGAAGTGGATCAAAGTAGATACCTGAGGATGTCAAGGATTCAGACTGGGTTGACCTTGAACTTCCCACCTGACTTCCCTCCCTGAAGAAGGGTCTGGATCAGGTAGCTAAGAGGACAAGAATCTATTCTTGATAATCTAAAATTCTTCCAAATCTTGGTGATTCCCATTCCACTCTCATGACTTTTTCTCTATCCTTGTATTATCCATATTGTGTCTTATTTTTAAAAGCGCTTACATAAAAATTTATTTTTAAAAATAGAAATTTTATAAATTACATCCTTAAGAGGAAGTATCATTTACCATAAATATTTGGTAACTATAAAAATACAAATGGTTGACCAAAATAAAATTGTAGATTTTGGCTACATTCTGCTCTGGTATTGATAATGTTCTCTCTTTGTGATAAGGGAGTCTAGCAAGTATTAGAAGGATGTTAAAAAAATACTGGCACCAAGTTAACACTTTCTTCTAGAAATAATCAGAAGGATTTTAAGAGAATAGAAAAAGAAATTACTTTCTTGAATTGTGATTCAATATTTGCTGAGGTTATGTCCATGTAGCACTTTCAATGATCTTGGATACTACCAAGGGCATGGCACCCCCCCACCTCGGTTTGGGGAGTATTGTGAAAAAGGAAGGCCTGGGTGAATGGAACTAAGTCTCTGCCCCAGCTTTCTGTTTCTATAAATTTGGGAGCTGGACTGCATAAGATTTCTATCAGCTCTTTGTTCTCTCCTAGTCCCAGACCATACACATTGGACACCTCTCCCCTCACTCCCTCCTAGTTTTTCAGCATAGATGATGACTTATGTAACTGTAGCCATGACTGGGTCATTTTGGGTTTGGCTGTCACCACCATCCACTGGCTGACCTTTCTACTTTCCTTCTGGAGACGCCTGACTGGGACATTCCCTCACACCCCTTTCCCATATAGACTCCTTTCCTCCTAATTCATTGCTCTCTATGTGTATTTTATAGGATATATAACCTTTTGTGTGCCATGCCATTTAATTCTCTCCTCTCCTACCTGAGCCCCGACTCTGCTCTTTGCTGAGGTCTTTCCATTTGGTTGGGGGGGGGCAGTGAACGAAGGATTGTATTTGTCTGCTGGCTCACATGGATGGCGAAGTGCGTGAAGAGAGAGCTAGAGAGCTCTTGACTTGGATAGAGCTGCCTCATGTGGGTCCAACCAATAGAAAGCCTGGCATCAACTTCAAAACCCATTTATTCTGAGGGGAGCAAAATGCCTCAATTTCCTGATCCTACTGTTCTTCCAGGAGATAGTTTATTGTACCCCTCAAGGCAGGAGCTCTCTAGTCACTATTACTTTGGAGGAACGTGCTTTGATTCTCCCACCTCCACAGTGTGCCTGCCATTAAATCTCTCTCATTTATCTTTCCAGGCAGTAGTGGCAAATGTGTCTGCCGAGAAGCATCGGAGTGCCAGGAAGAAGGGTTTAGTGTCTGTGTGGAAGTGAGCGGCAAGGAGCTGACAATGTCTGAGTGTGAGGCGGGCGTCCTGAGATGCAGAGGGCAGAGCATCTCTGTCACCAGCATGAAGCCCTGTGCTGCCGAAACTCAGTAGGCTCTGGGGACATCAGTCAGCTTGCGTGGAATCCAGCAGGCCATTGGGGCTTAATGAGAACATCTGCACACCTGGGCACTTTGACAACTTTTCCAGCATGGAGACACATTCTTTCTTTCTCCTTCCTCTCCAGTGTACATTTTCCACAGCAACCCTCAGCCACCTGTGTAAACAAACCCTTTGTGTCCCAAATCTGAATCCAGATACTCTCCCCCACCCCTATTTCTTTTTAAAAGGACAGGATGAAGAATATTAATGAGCCATTATAGGAGCTAGTTGTGTGTTTTGGGGAAAATTCTCTGGACTATTTTTGTCTGTAAAATTAGAGGGTTAGACTAGAGACACTTGCATGTTCCATCCATCCCCTGTGATTCTATTAAGTATGACTGACCCAGCCAATGGGCCAGAACACATTTTATGAATTGATTAGGAAAACAGAACACAATTTCCTGATTAGAGAGGTTGGCTTTCCTCAATGAAATCAAATACAAAAAGGACCTCGAATGAAAAAAGACAGATACAATTATTTCCATCTTGAGTTGTAATGTCACGCTTCACCCTGTTGAGTCCCCGCCACATGTGGGGATTCCTATTCTTGTCAGGAGATTGAACCATTTAAATGTCAGCACGGAATTCATCATGCTGTGGTCACAGGGCCCCTTCTGCTTTCTTGTCTGAGAACAAATATGATTCAGTCTTTTCCTGGGGGCTTTTTTTTTTTTTTTTTAGTATGTGTGAAAAACAAGACCTGCAATCAATCTCCACCCTGTTTTTGAAGGAAGTATCAGGTCATGTCTGAGCTACTGACTGATGCATAATTGAGACTAGTCTCCCCTAATGTGGATACACTCCTAGATTTTTTCCAAAGGTATGCAATTTGAAGCATTGGTCTTCTACTTATTTCTTATTCATTTTAAAAAATCAAAACAGAAAAAGCAGATGTGGGCGGTAAAATGAGTGGGAAGAAGTAGAATTTAAAATGTTTTTATATACAAATACTGTGTCCGTGTTTTTCTAATGCTGATAAATACATTTCAAAAAAACTTTAATGAAGATTATTAAGGATTAAGAACTCATTAAAGGAGATTTTTTTTTGATCTGTGTAATGTTTGATTAGGAGAATATTTTCATGAGGAATGGTAGTGGTTTTTTTGGTTCTTGCCTGAAGTTTTATGTTTGATCCAGATGTAGCTTTTTATACCAAGGCATCTCTTGAGGGAAGAAGCAGATGTCATAGGTGGACATTATAAGGTGGTAAGTTTCAATTGACTGAAATCAATAATATGTAGACAGGTCAACTGCAGGTGTCAGAGATTATTTTCTTTCCTGAGTAGGGGATAGATTTGAAAATGCCAGGCCTGAATGTAAACTCCATGATGAAGTACTGAACAAGGAAAACATTTGAGAGCAGCTATCTCAGTATCCTTCCAATAATTTCTCCTATCAACTTAAGTCAGAATAGAGTTAGATTTCTACTAATTATGTATCACCTCCTCCAATGTCTAATTAACATGGAGGATATGGTCAGCATTATCAAATGCTATCAGAGATTGGGATCTGAAATAAAGAAATTACTGGTTGAGCATCCCTAATCTGAAAAGCCAAAATCTGAAATGCTCCCAAATTTGAAATTTTCTGAAATGATGCTACAAGTGGAAAATTTCACTTCTGACCTCAAGTGACAGGTCACAGTCACAATGTAGGTGCAAAAAAATTATTGTATAAAATTATTTTCAGTCTATGTGCATAAATTGTAGGTGAATTGTTAATAAATTTTGTACTTAGGATTGGGCCTTATCCCCCAAATATCTCACTATCATATGCAAATCTTCTAAAATAACAAAAAATTAAATTGGAAACTATTCTGTGCCTTAGCATTTTGGATAAAGCATACTCAACTGGTAGCAGATTTAACAATTGTGAGATTTGAGAAAGAAGTTTTAACAGAGTTTCTGAAGAACTAAAGAAATGAGAAATCACTGGATAAGGAGGAAAACAGTGAATGTAGTTGTAAAGAGATATTCTTTTGAAAAAGTAAATTTTGTGCCTCTTTTTCTCTTTGGAACATTCTCACATTACATCTGCTGACCTTTCCTCAAATCAGGGAGGTTCAGTCACAATTTCCCAGCGAGTATTAGGATTATTGCAGCAGATCTGCAAGGAGAAGGTCATTTTCAACATGGAGTCATTACAAATGTTTTGAAGTTTCCAATTTAAGCTCTTCAACACCTAAAGAGAAGGATGTGACGAAATCCTGGGGGATTATTTATGTCATGAAAGTTCATTGCAAAGAGAGTAGAAGGTACGTGAGAATCTCTTCTGCCTACATTTTCTCTGTCTCAGACCAACTGAGGTCACGTGAACTAGGATGGGAGGTAGTTGAAAGGGCTGAAAGCAGTGCTGCGATAGTCATCTGGACCCAAGGGAGAACAGAGGGAGAGGAGGATATTGGTGCATTTACCATCCCTAGTTCCAGGGTGCTTCATGGGAACCAAGGCACATCCTACAGACATGCCTCTATCACCATTTATGTGGACACTATAAGTTACCTGGACAGACAGGCTGCCTTAAAGATCTCCCAGTGGCACTGGGGAGTGCCTTCCTGTGACATCTCACACATTTCCCAACAACTGATCAACAACAAAAGTTCTGCTTATCAAAGCCCTGAAGTTTAATGAGCCCCATCCAAACTACAGGTAACTTCCCTCCCCATCACTACCTTGAAATTACCTTGAAACAGAGGGAGGGTTCTTGATATTCAGGTGAGGTATGGAGTGGCAAGGAGGAGGAATATCTGAAAAATGACCCCTGAACGCTGGGTTATCTTGCTTTAGGTAACTGGCTAACTCAGTTGAAGTCTTCCCCCTTGACTGGGCAGACTGTGGCTAACCTCAGCTTCATGGGAGACTAGTGAGATCATCTGATGGTTGAGTACATGCTTGAAGTTGCTAGGCAGCTGCTTTACTCAGTATTTACTGAAACAGCTTATTATGTGCCCACACATAAATCATTAATCACTTTTCCTGTTGGCTAAGATGTGTATTAATAATATATTTGGGCTCCATGGATTATCATTTGCTCTATATTTCCTTTCCATTTCAACCCACATTTCTTATGCCCACATATTCACATGTATGCCAAGCCACTATATTAGTCATCTCCCATTACTATAATGAAATACCTGAGGCAATCAACTTATAAAGAGAAAAGTTTTATTTTAGCTCTAGGCTAAAACTGAGTGAGTATATGGAATTGGGCCTCCTCTGAGAGTGGAACATCATGGCAGGAGTTTGTGGAAGAGCAAAATTACTTGCTTCAAGAGCCAAGAAACAGAAAAAAAGAAAAGGCTGGGATCCTAGATTCGACTTTGGGGGGATGTCCCAATGAACTAAGGGCCTCCCACTGGGCCTCACTTTCTACAGATCCACAGCACTTATCAATAGTGCCACCCTGAGAACAAAGCCTGTAGCACATGTATCTTTGGGAAACAAACCAGAGGACCCACCATAGGCATTTGCATTATTTGTGAGACCAGCATAATAACTAATGTAGATGGTCACCATAAACTGGAAGATAAACTAAGATGCTGCACAGTTTGGTACAAAAGGAAGTAAATGCTCAGGTGTATCTACAACTTCTCTTTCTCTCTTCAGGTAGGAAGGGGTGGACAAAGAAGGGAGGAGGAAAAAAAAGAGCAGAGGAGAGAGGAGAGTGGAGAGGGAAGAGACAGAATGAGGGGAGTGAGTTTGAACGTGCTTTTTTAAAAACAATTAAATCTTTTTGAAAAATTTATTTCGTTTTAAATTTTGTTTTATTTGTTCTTTTTAGATATACATGACAGTTGGGTGAGAGTTTGGGCCATTCTTAGGATGGGATTGGAAAAACTGAGCAACCACTCAGTTCTGCTACCTACTAATCCCCTGAGATTTCCCTGATAGATTAGTTATAGTGTATTCAATACTTGCATTTGAAACGAATGACCTGTTTCTCTTTCAGAGCATTAAGCCACAAAGCAACCTCAGTAGGAGGCAATTTCCATCAATATCAGAGGAACCAGAGAGGTTTATGCCTGTTTTTCAATTACCTTGGTCTTTCAGGCAGTTTGCACATTTGAGGACAAGAAAGCTGATGTCAGGATCGGAGTCCCTGCTGTGACAACCAAAGACCTACAATTTGTCTTTTTATTTATTCCTGTCAGGCTCTGAAGGCAGACCTCCAAATTTACACTTAAAGCATCAATCTCTTAGAAAAATTTGCTTTTTCAGCCAAGGGTTAACAAGACCAGATGGAAAGACTGTCGTCATTTCAGAAGGGGTGGGCTGGAGGTGACAAGGTGGGCTGGAGAAGAAAGAACATTAAAGTGTTCTTTTTGATTCACAGGCTGAGAATAATTTCCTGTGAAAAGATAAACAGAAAGAACTGCTTTGCTCTCTTATCTGTTACTTGCATGCATCCCTATAAGAGGAGACTTGTACTGAATTTCATGGGAGTGGCCTTAGATACATGAAGAGTCAGTGACACCCAAGGAAGTGAAAAATGACGTGGAAAAATAAAGAATATGTAGTGCTGACTTGAAGACCCATTGCATAATAATCAGCAGACCAAGTGAGCTGGGGACACAGAGAGGTCAAAGGAATTTTCAGCAATAGTGAATGGAATTTTCTGATCAAAGGGCAGTTTTGCCTGACATCTTCAAGAGAAAGTAATTAACATGAAAGGCTCAGGGCTAGTGTATCATTAGACTACACACAACCCAAGTGTGCATTAGGATAATATTTAGTAAGTGGCCACCACTGAGTTCCATGTGCAGACACTCGTCTCTGCACAGATAGCATCAAGAGCAACTCCTGAAGTTAGGCATGATATAACACGGCAGACAAACTCACTGATGGACTCTTGGGGCCCTCTAGAGGGTCAAGAGCTTTGTATGATCATAATGAACCTTCCAAAGTATCTTAAGTCTCCTTAGCATGATTGCTCCTTAACATGAACACAGAACA